CTATCGTCATTTCTTTACCGGTCACCAACGGCTCGATCTCCTGGTTTGGTTGCTCTCCAAGCTGAGGGACTGGTTTGGACTTTCCAGAAGATGCTTTCTTCAGCGTTCGCTCATAGTCCGATAGCTTGATGGCCTCCTTGACAGATGCAGACATACCCCTAAAGAAGTTCCTGACACTTGGGTCTATAGGAATCTTCTTTTCTGGACTTCGAGGCTTGAATTGTCTCTTGACTTCTGATGCAACGTAAGCGTCAAGCTCCTCTTGCGTGCAATCGTACCCCGGGTCCTTGTTCTTGGCGGCGTCAACTTTCGCCTTCTTTGTTGCCCTTGTGTGGGCAAGCGGTGGAGCTGGGGGGGCCCTTGACTTTGAAGGTGCCGGAAGAGGAGCTTGCGGGGGAGTAGGTGTAGGAGCACGAGGAGTCGGTGCAGGATCCTGAGGAGGAGTCGATGCTGGAGCCTGAGGTGGAGACGGTGCTGGCGGAGCATGAGGAGGAGACGGTGCAGGATCCTGAGGAGGAGATGGCGGAGCCGGAGGAGATGGTGCACGAGACGCCGCTTGTCGCCCAGGGAGGATGATGTACCGCCTGCGCCATAGAATAATGGCATGGCATGTGTCTCGTAGATGCGTCTCACCGTCTCCTCCAGGGTAATCCAGCTCGAGGTCCTCGTACGCGCCTTCGACCAACTCAACTTCGACCTTGGAGTATCTTGCTGGAATTGGCCTGCAGTGGTAAGTTCCTGAAGGGTCCGTTGGGATGGCCATGCCCGACGCCACCTTCATGTTGTGAGAGATTATTTATTAGTAATCAACATATATAAGCAGCAACTAGCGGAATGGCTAAATCTTACCTTTATTGATAAGTTCTTGAAAGGAATATGCAGCTCACATGGTGTCCGCTGAGTGATGTCATCAACGGGACAGGTCGATTCGTCCTGTGATTGCATGGCGTGCATGCTCTGTGATCCTACCTGCCCCGTTGAGGCGCAGCTGCTACGGTTTCCTGACGGGCTCACCATTGCAGGAGGAATGGTCGGCTGGGGATCATGGGACCGATGTGCGGCCATGCGTTCATCAACCTTCCTTGCCACCTCCTCTTGCATGTTGAGTTCGTAGCTCGATACCCGGAACTCTAGGTCTGCAATCTTCGCCTCGGTATCTCTCTTGCTCCTCATCCGACTTCTATACGTGTGGATGTCCTCCTTGAAACCAATCTTCCAAGGAATCACCCCTTTCCCTCGAGTTCGTCCTGGATGCTCTGGAGTCTGCAGGGCGAGTGTCAGCTCGTCCCTATCTCTGTCTGGTCGGAACGTGCCCTGAGAGGAGGCTTCCACTGCATCTGTTAGTCGTCGCGCAGCCTCTTGTATCTGATAGCCGAAGACCAGTGAGCCATCAGCTGGGTTGAGCGTTCCACCGTGAGCATAGTACCAGAACTTCGATCGTTCCGGCCAATTGGCTGTTGCCGGTTCGATACCCCTCTCAATCAAGCTAGCCTCCATCTGCTCCCACTTCGGCATCGCGACGCTATAGCCTCCTGACCCCAAGTGGTGATGGTACTTCTTCTTGGCGGCATTTTCTTTGTTTCTTTCCATCATCGCCTGCCCTTGTTCACCTGTCTTATATGCAACGAACTCGTCCCAGTGATCCCTTAGCTTTGGGAATGTGTCGAAGTTCGGTGTCTGCCCCTTCAGTATATACTTCTGGTACAGATCTCCCTTGAAGCTCTGAAACTGTTCTGCCATTTTCTTCAGAGTCCACCTTTTCACTTTGTCCTCTGTACCCGCAGGAAGGGTGAATGTCTCGAGCATTGTGGTCCACAGCATCTCTTTCTCCGAATCTGGGACAAAGCTCTCATGATCTCCGCGTGCCCTTGTTCTTCGCCAGTACACCGTACTGACAGGCACGTTATCCCGCACAACCCAACCGCTGTGACGTACATAGTTCTTGGCGGCTTCGGCCGGGGCACTAGGACGTCCATCTTCTTCCACTTCCGTTATGATGTGCCGACCCTCAAGCTTCTTCGCTGCACCTCGTTGCCCGCGTGCCCTCTTCTGTCCAACGGAGGGTTGACTACCACTAGCCTCCTCCTCCTGGTTCCCCTCCACATCCCTTTCCACGTGCCCCTGCTGGTTCCCCTCCGTATCCCTCTCCACGTTCCCTTCCTCGTTCAAGTACTGGTTTGGATCCTCGTTCCCCTCTTCTTCATTCCAGTACTGGCTGCTTCCCTCCGCGATTGTATCGTACAATATCTGTTCCTCATCGCGGTCAGCCATCTGTTGATACAAGAAACATCTGCTAAGTCACGAGACATTTATGTTTTAACAATCTAAGTCATGTATATTATACAACCCTAGCTAGTAAATAATTATATACTAAGTCTAATTACAAATAAAATAATCTTATATTAAAACTCAAATAATATTACATGCTAAGACTAAAATAGTCATGTATATGCTAAGTGTTTCGTGCGTATATGCTAAGTCTAATTAAGACTACAATAGTCAATTGCTACTTGTCGCACCAATTCCGTAGTCAATAATTACATACCAAGTCTAATTACAAATAAAGTAATATTATATTAAAACTCAAATAATATTACATGCTAAGACTAAAATAGTAATGTATGCTAAGTGTTTCGTGCGTATATGCTAAGTCTAATTAAGACTACAATAGTCAATTCCTAGGAGTCGCACCAATTCCGTAGTCAATAATGTCATACTAAGTCTAATTTGCAATAAAATAATCTTATATTAAAACTCAAATAATATAAGAACACTACACAATCTTATATGATAAGTCTAATTACAGGTCTAATAATCTTAATTAATTGCATTACAAATATAACAATCATTTATATTATTACGTCACTTGCCTGCTCCAATTCCTTCTAGGGCTAGCTCTTCCACTCAGGCTTGACGGACGACTCCGACAGCACGTCTTTTCTACAAGATAAAAAAAATGTATTAGGATAAATGCGAAGTAACATATATATATATATATATATATATATACATGTATATATATATACATGTATATATATATATATACATGTATATATATATACATGTATATGTATATACATACATATATATATATATATATATATACATACATATATATATATATATATATATTGCATTTCACGTTAACGTTCGTCCTCGTTCGTTCGCTCGTTCTCATTCACGTTCGTTCGCTTGTTCTCATTCACGTTCGTTCCCTCGTTCTCGCTTGTCTTCGTTCGATCGTTCTCGTTCTCGCTCTCGTTCGTTCGATCGTTCTCGTTCTCGTTCACGTTGTCGCGGCAACGTACGTTGACGTGTTCGTTCTCGCTCTCGTTCATTTGATCGTTCTCGTTCTCGTTCGTTAACGGCGGTGTGGCGGCATCGGGGCGGCGGTTGGCGCGGCGGCGTGGCGACGGCGGCGGCGGCGTGGCGTTGTGGGGCCATGGCGGCGGCGGCGTGGCGTGGCGGCGGTGGCGTGGCGTGGCGTGGCGGCGGCGGCGTGGCGTGGCGGCGGCGGCATTGCGCGCGCGGCGGCGAAGGCGGCGGTGGCGTGGCGACGGCGGCGGTGGCGTGGCGACGGCGGCGGCGGCGTGGCGTTGGCATGCGGCGGCGGCGTTGCGCGGCGTCGAAGGCGGCGGCGTGGCGCGTCGTCGTCGTGGCGCGGCGTCTCGTCGCGGGCGGCGCGACGGAGAGAGATCGAGATGCATGAAGGGAGATCTGGCGGCGGCGGCTCTCACCCCAGAGATGCGGCGGCAGCGGAGGAGGCGGAGGCGGCGGCGAGGACAACGAGCTCGAGACGACGGCGAGATACGGCGGCGTCGGCGCGGGGATTTGCCCTAGGCAGTGGCGGCGAAGGAGAGAGGCCGAGAGAGATCGATCGGCCGAAAACGTTTAAGTGTTGGTGAAGAAGACGAGGGCACACCGGGAATATATATATACCCCTGGATCTTTACTCCCGGTTGTTCTGAACAACCGGGACTAAAGATATCTTTATATCATTAGTCCCGGTTGTTGAGAACAACCGGGAGTAAAGAAAAGATATTTACTTCCGGTTGTTCTCAACAACCGGGACTAAAGATATCTTTAGTTTCGGTTGTTCTCAACAACCGGGAGTAAATATCTTTTCCCGCTATTTCGAAATTCTTTTTAAACCCGGTTAGGGTTAAGAACCGGGACTAAAGATTATAGCACTGCATATGATTTTCGCTTACATATGTGTTTATAAAATAGAAGTTAATGCATTAACATTATTTATAGTACAAAGATTAATGACAATTACTTCGAAAAATTATTTTTGGCTGTAATAAATTAAGTGGATAAATCGTAATAAGCAAATATAATTAATAAAAATTCCAATAATCATATATACTTAGCATATATATGAATGATATTATTATATTGGTAAAAACTCTAATTAAGATATGTATGTACATACTGCATGATTTAAAATTAATAAAAATTGTAATCATCATATGTACTTAGCGTAGGAATTATATTAAATTAAATGCTAAAAACTCTAATTAACATATGTAAATGCCACATGCATGATTTTAACCTTTTAAAAATTCGAATAGTCATATATAAGTAGCATATGAAAGATAGTAAATTAAATTGTGAAAAACTCTAATATATGAATGATAGTTTTAAAAATATATTAAATTTAATACTTTTAAAAATTCTCCAGTCAATTATAATTAGCATATGAATGATAGTAAATTAAATGTTAAAAACTCTAATTAACATATGAAATTGCCACTTGCGTGATTTAAAACTTTTAAAAATCCTCTAATTAACATACATATGAAATTGCCACCTGTGTGATTTAAAACTTTTAAAAATTGTAAGTATCACATATAACTAGCATATACATGATTTAAACTTGTTGAAACCTCTAATAATCGTGCGTAATTAACATATGCCATACATCAATTGATTTATATGGATAATCAATACATCCAAAATAGTTTACATCATGTACACAATAATTACGGCACATACTTTCTCCTCACTATTGTTCCCTCCTTGTGATCGCTGCGTGAGTAAGGGGTGTCTTCATTTGATAGGAGGATGCTAGGGTCAATCGTCACCGTGAAAGGGGGTTGCCCATCCAACTGATCGTAATCCTCGTCAGTCTTGTCCTCAACTCCGACGATTTTTCTTTTGCCTGGGAGAACCACTTGACGCTTAGGCTCATCAGGCCCTCTGTCACGACCGGAAATAACCCAACGGGCGTTCCTTACGTGCGTGCATTAATCCTTGTCCCAGGAGGCAAGGTACACCAAAAGTTGATACAATTCAGAGTTTAACAAGCGGAAGCGTAAATAGATAATTTATTACATGGGCAACGAAGGCCCAGCACACACAAAGACAAACGAGAAATAGCGGAAGACTAGGGCGACGACCACAGGCACTTGACGGCAGGCACGAGCTAGACACCAAAGCCTTCATCCTCCAGGAACTCCTCTTCTGGGTTTGGGAAAAATTGAGCAAGACTGAGTACACCCACCGTACTCAACAAGACACACCCACAAGTGCAGAATAAATGCAAGGGAGTACAAATGAGTTATACTATAAAGGGTTAGGGTTGCAGTAAACAGCATTTAAAGACATTAGTTGCTCAGGGCTATTTTGCAAACACGATTCTAGTACTATACAATATTATTTATCAAGGCCGTGAACCCATACGAACCTGCCTTAACCCAAGTCCTACGATGATTCAGACCGAACTGGCAACCCGACCCTAGGTCCCAGCTCGTCCCAAGCCAACCCAGGCCAACCATTCCACATTTTAGTTGTTAAGCAGGTTTTAAGAATTAAAACACTAACTTGGGTACATTGCTCGGCTTGCCCATAACCGAGGGCGCGGCTATTCGAATAGATTATACTCTGATCAGAGGTGTACATCTTTACCCACAAGACACATCTTCCTCACGTGTAACCACGTGCCACATACCACCACGGTATACAGACGAAAGACGTGACATAGTTTCCAACCCATCCTAGCCATAGACAAGAGTACCGACCCAATCCCACCTACGGCCGGAACCCCCGGGACAGGCAGGCAGGACTGAGCCCCTAGCAGCAGGACACCGGCCCTGTGCCATGACATCTCGACTACCGGGCCGCAGCTCGTGTAGCCTTCATTTGTCCTAGAGATGTCCATCGACCCCCGACTTCTTCCATCTCCATCCGTGTACTTTTGTTTATAACTAGACTGAGCCACAAACTAAGCCTTACCCACTAGACATGTGGAAGTACGGTAGTGCTTTGCAACAGAGGCCCGAAGACCGGTCCTTATATGGCCGAGGTGCTACTATCAAAACCATGCACCCCGAGCCCAGCCTAAAACCATTTTTGGGGATTTTGAATAGAAGGAGCGGTGTGAAGCCAATTCCACAATAACCAAACCATTCCATAGTGTCCAGGTGATATGAATATTCCCAAAGTCTAGAGTTGTAAAACCACCTAATGTTACCTAATTAAACAGCGAAGCATCTACCTAAAATCATACTAGTGATACCATGAGTAGAGTGTCCACTAGTTAGGGTTTTGTTTATTCTAGGGTGAACAAGGAAATAGTAACAATAACAACAATAATAAGGTCATAACAAAGGTAAATAGGCATGGCTAAATAAAACAGTGATAACGCGGGAATTTAAATAAAGCGATAATGCAATAAGTTAAATCAACATAATTTTACAAACTGGGATTCAATATGTTCAAAGATGATGTGACTTGCCTTGCTCGCTTTCCCAAATGCCGGCTTCAACCTCCACGAAGAGCGGATCTTCCGAAGCTGCAGCGTCTACACGACCAATGGAAAAGAAACGGCTTTTACTCTACTAAACTCCATATAACAAGCAGAAACAAAGCACAAAAATGGGTTCTTGGCTTCTTAAGGAAAAATTAGAGACTTGAACGGTCCAATTCCGAGTTCAAATGGCCAAGATATGGCCATTTGAACTTTATATGCTCTTTAAATGGATATTTACGAATTTCTTCATTTAAATTTTTAATTTAAAAACATATTTATTGCGTCAGCCGGGAGAGAGGAGCGCGCGGACCGGGTCCACGGGAGTGGGGCCCACGCGGCAGCCTCTCGGTCCACGGTGGACCGGGTGCACGCGGCTTACGCCGGCCGGCGCCGTGGGTCCCACGCGTCAGCCGCACCCGAGGGCGCAGGCGACTGACGGCCGGGCCCCACATGGCAGCCGCGGGGCGCGCCCGAAGGCGGCCTCGCCGGCACAGCCGACGGGAGGCGACGCGCCCGCGCCCCTATGGTCGCCGGCGGCGGCCATAGGCACGGCGGAGCGGCGGCCAAGAGAGGGGAGGGAAGGGGGAAACGAAATGGGCGGTCCACGGCTCACCCCGGGTCGACGACGACGACGGGAACGGCGACCGGAGCGGAAGAAGGCGGCGGCGCGGCACGGGTCGACGGGGACGGCGGCGTTCCGGCGGTCGGCGGGCGAAACGGAGGGGTGGACGAGGTCGGCGAGGACGCGGCTGAGCCGAAGGAGGCGACGCCGAGGCGGGAAAAGGTCCGAGGCGACGACGGCGGAGGACCGGAGCTCGGTGGTGACGGCGGAGAGAGAGAGCGACGGCGCGAGCTCGATTCCGGCGGAGAGAGAGAGCGGCGAGTGGCGGAAACGGTGGAGGGAGGCACGGGGAGTGTTTATATAGGGTTGGGAGGGGGAGAGAGCGGCCGGATGAGGGGGAATCGGCCGCGGAAGATCCGGCCGCCATTGATGCGCCGGCGAAGTTAGGGGGAAACTTTCCGAACGAATCCGAGGGAGAGAGAGAGGGAAAAGTGGGGGGAAAGGGAGAGGGAATCACGGGGAATGATTTCCCCCTCTTTATTGCGCGCGGGGACGGCGGGAGGCGGCGGGATTCGCGGCGGCGGCGGCGCTAGGGCACGGGCGAGGCGGCGGGAGCGGCGCGAGGTAGGGGATGACGGGTGGGCCCCACCCGTCAGCGAGGGTGGCGGGCGGGCCCGCCCGTCTGCGGCACGCGCGCGGGGAGGAGGCCGATTGGGCCACGGGGAAGAGGAGAGAGAGGGAGGGAGGTGGGCCGAGCCGGCCCAAGAGGGGAAGGGGAAAAAGGACTTTTTAGGGTTTTTCTTTTTATAAAACCTTTTTAACTTTGTTTATTTCTTAATAATTATTATTTGTGCTCTGAAAATTCCACTAAAATTTATTTACGCATTTTAGGCTTTTAGGAAATATACAAAAATCCTCCAAGCCTTATTTGACTTTTAACTTTGCACATTTTAATTGTTGGAGGCTTTCACATGGATTTTACTTATTCTATGCATAATTTTGAGGATGAATTTTAGAGTCGTTTTGGGACGCGACACCCTCTGCCCTTCTTTCCTTTGCTAGACATGTCCTTCACGAAAAAGACTTGCGTTACATCATTGGAAAGGACAAAAGGTTCGTCCGAGTATCCAACCTTGTTAAGGTCAACAGTTGTCATCCCACTGTCATCAATCATTACGCCTCCACCAGTCAACCTAACCCATTGGCACCGGAACAGAGGAACCTTGAGAGGACCATAGTCAAGTTCCCATATGTCCTCGATGGCACCGTAATACGTGGCAGTTGTTCCATCGTGTCCCATGGCATCGACACGAACAGCGCTGTTTTGGTTCGTGCTCTTCATGTCTTGGGCTCTCGTGTAGAATGTGTACCCATTGATCTCATATCCCTGGAATGTCGCGATCGACCCAGACGGTCCCCTCGCCAGGAAGGCAAGTTCTTGGTTGATCGACTCGTTACCCATGAGATGTTGTCGTAGCCACGCGGGGAAAGTATCAATGTGATGCCGTGTAATCCATGCATCGGACTTACCGATGTTCCTTGCGCGAACTAGAGCCAAGTGCTCCTCGATGTAAGGAGCTACCAATGAAGAGTGTTGCAGAACAGTGAAATGGGCTTTACGGAATAAATTGTTGTCTACCGTCGTTATTGCTTTCCTTCCGAGAGTTCCCTTTCCCCGTAGTCTCCCTTCATGGCGTGATTCAGGTACCCCGATTGGGCGAAGGTCTTCGATAAATTCTACGCAAAATTCGATGACCTCCTCTGTTCCATAACCCTTGGCGATGCTTGCCTCTGGACGAGCACGGTTACGAACATACTTCTTCAGAACGCCCATGTACCTCTCGAAAGGAAACATGTTGTGTAGGTACATAGGCCCGAGAATACGGATCTCTTTCACAAGGTGACAAAGCAGATGCGTCATTATATTGAAAAATGAAGGTGGAAATATCAACTCAAAACTGACGAGACATTGCACCACTTCATTCTGAAGGGCTTCTAATCTATCCGGATCGATGACCTTCTGCGAAATTGCGTTCATGAATGCACATATCTTTGTTATTGTTGCCCGGACATTGTCTGGAAGGATACCCCTTATTACAACTGGTAGCAGTTGTGTCATCAACACGTGACAGTCATGAGACTTTAGGTTTGTGAACTTCTTCTCCTTCGTGCTTATTATTCGCTTGATATTCGTGGAGTATCCAGACGGTACCTTTATGCTCTCCAAGCATTCAAACATACTTTCCTTCTCTGCCTTGCTAAGAGTGTAGCTGGCTGGACTCAAGTAATGGCTTCCTTTCTCCTTTGGTTCCGGGTGAAGGTCGCCGCGTTGTTCCATATGCTTCAGATCATTACGTGCTTCCAGTGTATCTTTCGACTTTCCGTATACACCTAGGAAGCCAAGAAGGTTTACGCAAAGGTTCTTAGTGAGGTGCATCACGTCGATTGCGTGGCGTACGTCCAAGAATTCCCAATATGGTAACTCCCAAAATATAGAGTTCTTTTTCCACATCGCCGCGTGACCATCTTCGCTCTCTATATGCTGGCTTCCAGGCCCCTTTCCGAACACTACTTTAAGATCTTTAACCATAGCAAACACTGTTTTCCCGCTGCGATGTTTAGGCTTCGTACGGTGGTCGGCCTTATGTTCGAAGTGCTTGCCTTTCTTCCGTACCGGGTGGTTTGCTACAAGGAATCGACGATGACCCATGTATACAACCTTCCTACAGTGCTTAAGATACGTACTTTCTGTTTCATCCATACAGTGAGTGCAAGCCTTGTACCCCTTGTTGGACTGTCCGGATAGGTTGCTAAGTGCAGGCCAATCGTTGATGGTTACGAACAGCAGCGCTCGTAGGTTAAACTCCTCCTGTTTGTCCTCGTCCCACACGGGGACACCTTCCTTCTTCCACAACTGTTTAAGATCTTCGACCAGTGGTCTTAGGTACACGTCGATGTCGTTACCAGGTTGCTTGGGGCCTTGAATAATAATCGGCATCATTATGTACTTCCTCTTCATGCATAGCCAGGGGGGAGGTTGTAGATACACATCGTAACGGGCCAAGTGCTATGGCCGCTGCTCATCTCTCCAAAAGGATTCATGCCATCCGTACTCAAACCAAACCGTATGTTTCGTGCGTCCTTTCCAAATTCTTTAAATTTTCTGTCGATGTTTCGCCACTGCGAACCATCGGCGGGGTGTCTCAGCATCCCGTCCTGTTGACGCTCTTCAGCGTGCCATCGCAACATTCTAGCATTCCCCTTGTTCCTGAACAAACGCCTTAGCCGTGGTATTATAGGGAAATACCACATCACCTTAGCAGGAATTCTCTTCTTTGTTAGCTGCCCGTCAACTTCTCCTGGATCGTCCCGTCTAATCTTGTATCGTAGTGCTTTGCAAACAGGGCATGCTTCTAGGTTCTCATACTCCTCACCGCGATATAGGATACAATCGTTCGGACATGCGTGAATCTTACGAACTTCCAGTCCTAACGGGCAGACTATCTTCTTAGCCTCGTACGTTGTCTCGGGCAATTTGTTTCCCCCCGGAAGAATGTTCTTAATGAGTTTCAATAAATCGCCAAATGCCTTGTCACTAACCCCATTTTTTGCCTTCCATTGCAACAACTCCAGAGTGGTATCCAACTTTTTGTGCCCCTGCTCGCAACCTGGGTACAACGAAGTTCTGTGGTCCTCCAACATCTTGTCCAATTTATGGGCCTCCTTTTCACTTTCGCAGTCCTCCCTAGCGTCCTGCAACATCTGACCAAGATCATCCGCAACGTCGTTACCATCAGCAGCTATTTTCTCCTCGCCCGTTTGATTTCCTTCAAATCCAACATACTGAGCAAAGTCCGGAATATTGTCGTCTTCCACTTCATCTTCTTCCATTTCAACACCTTGCTCTCCGTGGGATGTCCAACAATTATAGCTTGGCATGAACCCCGACTCAAACAAGTGGAAATGAATAGTCCTGGATGCAGAATACTCCTTCTGATTCTTACACTTATTGCATGGACAACAAATAAAACCCCTTTGCCTGTTAGCTTCGGCCACTCTCAAAAAATAGTGCACGCCGTCAATAAACTCTTTGGACCGCCGGTCAGCGTACATCCATTGCCGATCCATCTACATGTGTCAAAAAAACCGCACACAAATAATTATTCTTACAATAATGACAGTCATACAATAATTATAAGATATCTTTATTCATACAAAAATCATAAAATATTACACCAAATAATTCTTAAAAACTATTTGTAAAGTTTTAAACTAATTTTAATGTGTTTTACTTCTTTTAATTTTCATTTTAGTTTGTTTTCTATTATTTAAGATTAACTTTCACTAGAGTTTTCCTTCTCAACTATTTTATAAAACCTTGTTTAGCAAATGAACTAAATTTCTATATATTCTTTCTTCCCCACACACATTTTCTCTCTCATCAACTTACAACTAAATTTTGGAGACAAAAAAAGGTGTGCAAAACATAGGTGCAAATGTAGTATGACAAAAAAAACATTGGAGGATGAAATTGCAAACCTTTTAGACACCTCCGATTTGTATGTAATCACCAAAATAAATTCAATAGAAATTTTGGCATGACCTCCCCTCTTTTTTGAAGTAATTTTGAAGCTTGCTCGGGCAGCTGGAGGAGGAAGAAGACATATATATAGGGGTGGGACTTTAGTCCCGGTTGGTAGCACCAACCGGGGCTAAAGATCGCCGGGATCATTAGTCCCGGTTGGTATTACCAACCGGGACTAAAGTTAAGATCTTTAGTCCCGGTTGGTGTTACCAACCGGGACTAAAGATCCCGGGGGGGCCTGACAGGTCCTGACAGCATTCGAACCGGGACTAAAGATGATGTTTAGTCCCGGTTGGTAACACAAACCGGGACTAAAGATCAAATATGCCCGTTTCCCTTTTGAACCGGGACTAAAGATCATCTTTAGCCCCGGTTTTTATTGCATCCGGGACTATTGTGGAAATCGGCCGACCGACGAAAGATGGTTTCTCCACCAGTGGCGACTTCGCGCCGCAGAGTTGCCGCTGCTCTCCTCCGGTATAGCTGTATGCCCCCTTGGGCGTCTTCGTCAGTCATCGGTAGAAACCACACATCCTCTTCTTCCAACAGTACCAAAAATGGAATCGCCATGTCCGGGAACACGTGGTGCTCCCCAGTTTCCATACGTATCTAGATCAGAATCATCGGTTCCATGCCTACGGTCTTTATGGTCTCAGTCAGGTTTGGGCAGGCGTTCCAGCCAGTACAAGCATTTTCTTCGAGAACTGATAAGACCATCGAGCACGCATAATTCGGGAGCACATCTTGCTTAGGACGTTCTCGTCGTTCCATCATCATATCATAGCCCACATCCATCTCCCCAGTTTCCTTCTTTGCGCCTCTCGTTTGTGTGTCTCCTGGGAAGAAGAAGCACAGTACCAGGCTGGTACTGTGACCTTCTGGTTCGATGGAACCAAGTATGTGAATGTTGAACTCGATGGTACTGTTTACATATGGCTTGACTCAACCAATTGGTTGAACCATAATAGTTAAGATGAACAATAAACGATAGAAGTTTTGCTAGCTGTTGCAACCATGCTTTGCTGAAGTTCATGATGTTTGCTTGCTGTTAGAATTACACATTTTAACACGTGACATCAAAGCTTCCAATATACTCCATCCGTCTCATTTTAAGTGCAGTTGCGGATTTTCGTGTACAACTTTTGACCGTACGTCTTATTTAAAAAATTTATATATCTCACAGTTAAAGCGTGCATTATGTATTAGCTTAGTGAAAATACCAAGCAGAAGTCATGCTAATTTGGTGCCGATTTATACTATTCTAAATAGGTTAATTGGTAACTCCACGTAAAAAGGATATGTGTTTAAATCATGACAAAACTTGAACACTGCAAATCTGATGTTTATTGTAATTTATTTTTACCCTTACAACGCACGGGCATTTTTCTAGCCTGATAAAAAAATACGGAAGGATTCCGTATATTTTTTACATCATCCGTACGACGTCCGGTCACACGAGCCTTAAGTGTCTGCCGCCACCGCCATATCTATTTGTCTCTTTGTGCGTTTTCTTTTCTAATTGATTGCAAAAATCGATTCCACACTTCTCCCTCATTATTTTCCCCATGATTTTCCCTTTTAATTTGACTTTAATTCTTCGGATTTAATCTTTATCCGCCGCCATATTGATCTGCCTCCCCGTGCGTTTCCTCCTCTAATTGATTACAAAAATCGATTTCTCACTCCTCCGTCGTCATTTTCCCATGATTTTCCTTTTCAATTCGGTTTTAATTCATCGGATTTAATCTCTATTGAATGGTAGAAATGATGACCAGACGGCGAGCTTCCCGTTCCTTTTTATCCTGAGTTTTACGGATTCGCTCCAATTTCGAGAGAAACGGAAAGAGGACATCGAGTGGATCAAAAGTCCTTAACCAATTTTAGGTGATCGAGAAAGATTCGCTAAATTTGATGGGGAGCATCAGCTTCGATATCGTACGGGCACACGGGATTATCTTCCGGAGGTTGAAGAACCTACTGAAACGTGTGGGGCAACCGACTGTGCTAGCTAAGCCGAAGAGAGGAAGGTCGAGAGGAGAAAGGTAGGACCTAGGAGACAACGGATTGTGCAGGGGCTAAAAATAAAAAAAAATAATGGGCTTTCGGCTCAAAACCAAGAAAATATTTTGATTAACCTTTTCAATTATAGTGTATAGCAACCATAATATTTCAAGTGATTTCTTGGCTCCCAATATTACTAGGAAAAACGTATTTACTCGTTGCAATGTACGGGTATTTTTTTTCTAGTAATCAAAATAAACGTACTTGCCCATTCCTGTAATGCTGACCGAAACGACAGAGCTGGACTGGACGGGACCCACTAATCAGATCGACTCCTGCGCATTTAAGTGTCAGTGGCCACACTCATTTGGCGATCTAATCTTCCTGAATAGATGCCGTCTATTTAATTGTTGAGAAATTTTTTTTTAATGATACATACTATGCCGGGGTTTAATTAAATCCAGTACTATACAAACACAAGTTCACAACTGACGGAGGGATTATATATATTAGCCGAAATATCCCGGACGGAGCGATTAAATATATTAGCGTTAAGATCGAACAAAGCACAAAGTTAAAACATAGTGCAAAGTGATATTGGAAGGTCGTGACCAATGACCAATGGCGAAGTGAGAAACTTCTAATTACAAGACTAAAGTAACCTTTTCGATGAGAATATAATATTGATCTGTCTGGAGTTAACCAATCCTACATCACCCTGCTGCCAAAAACAGCAACGCCAGTTCATATCAAAGATTTCAGACCCATCTCGCTATTGTACAGTGTACCAAAACTCCTGAGCAAAGCCCTAACAATCAGATTGCAGAGAGAAAAAAAGCTCTCGCGTCACCCTCCCCACGGGCGACACGAGAAGCGATGCCGCCGCCGTCTTCTTCCTCCTCCTCCCCTCCTTCTCTGCCTCACCGCCGCCTGAGCGGCCGCCGGCAAAGCCGCGCGCCCGCGGGGACGGCGGCAGTGGGGCTTCGCCCAGTGCGCACTTGGGTGGCCCGGGGAGCTAGCCGGGCGGCGACGGTGGCAACCATCCGGATCCGCGCGGATGGGTTCTAAGCTGAACTTTAGTACTGCTTATCATCCGCAGACAGACGGACAAACCGAAAGGGTAAATCAGATTTTGGAAGACATGTTGAGAGCTTGTGCTTTAGACTTCGGTGGAAGTTGGGATAAGAATCTACCTTATGCGGAATTCTCGTACAACAACAGTTATCAAGCTAGTCTTCAGATGGCTCCTTACGAAGCACTGTATGGTCGGAAGTGCCGCACTCCGCTTTTGTGGGATCAAACGGGAAAACGTCAGGTTTTCGGGACGGATATCCTGAGGGAAGCAGAAGAAAAGGTGAAAATCATTCAAGAAAGATTGCGTGTGGCCCAGTCTCGTCATAAGAGTTATGCCGACAATCGTCGTAGAGATCTAAGTTTTGACGAAGGAGATTATGTGTACCTTCGTGTCACGCCTCTTCGAGGAGTTCATCGTTTTCACACCAAAGAAAAATTGGCACCGCGTTTTGTGGGACCTTATAAGATTGTCAGTAGAAGAGGAGAGGTTGCTTATCAGTTGGAGTTACCTCAATCTTTGGCAGGAGTCCATAATGTGTTCCATGTGTCGCAATTGAAAAAGTGTTTAAGGGTACCTACCGAAGAAGCTAATCTTGAATAGATAGAAGTCCAAGAGGATCTGACCTATGTTGAGAAACCAATCCGTATCTTGGAAATAGATGAGAGAAGAACCAGAAATCGAGTTATCCGTTTTTGCAAAGTTTAGTGGAGTAATCACTCGGAAGAAGAATCAACTTCGGAACGAGAAGATGAATTGAAGTCAGCTCATCCGCATCTGTTCGCCAGTTCTTTCGAATCTCGACGACGAGATTCTGTTTAAGGGGGGTAGGTTTGTCACACCCTAAAAATCCTAAATATATATAAATTGTTATTTAATTGGAATTATTAGAATTTATTTTAAAAGCCTAGAAAAGAAGATCTAGTTTTAATTAATAAATTCCAATATAAAATGGGGCCAGATAAAATTTCATTAAATACTTTGCTTAATTCTATAATTCCTAGATTTTTCTGGGATTTATTTGAGCTAAGGAAGTATTTTTAATAAATGGAATTGCATTTCATGAATAATTTAAATTGAAAAAGGTTTTTTTAAAGTCTTCTTTTGGCTTTGGGCCGAAAGTCAGCCCAAAACTCTCTCTCTCTCCTCCTTGGCCCAAGCCGGCCCAGTCAAGCCGAGCCGCCCGCGCGCGCTCGCTGCCGCTGACAAGTGGGGCCCACCTGTCAGGCCTGTCGTCTACCTCCGGCCGGCCGCCGCCCGAACCCTAGCGCCGCGCCGCCGTTGTCTCTTTCCAAATTCGGCTGCCCCTTTCCTTTTCCGGTGAAATCAATAGAGGGGAAATGATCTTCGGGATCTCTTCTACCTTTTCTCTTTTGGAATCGTCGGCTAAAATCGTTTGGAAATCCGTGGATTCGATCTCGAATCGGATTCGTCTCTCTCCCCGAACCCTAGACCTTCCTTCGCCGTCGCCGGTCGCCGTGGGCCTTCGCCGCCGCCTCCTTGCCCCTATAAAAGGACCCCCAAGCCCGCCGCTACCTGCCGCCACCCTCGCCTTCGTCTCTCGTCGCCGGTAGAACCCTAGCACCGTGTAGCCTCGCGCCGCCGTCGTTGCCGCTGCTCCAGCCGTGCGCCGCCATCGCTCCAGTCGTCGCCGTTGCTCGGGAAGGCCGCCGTCGTGGTCGCCGTCGCGTTGTCGTCCTCGTCCGCCCCTCCATCATTGCTGTATACCGCCGGAGCACCGCCGTCGTCGTCAAGCCGAAGTTTGCCGCCGCTTCTTCCTCGACGCCGTCGCCGTCTGTTGATCTTCCGCCGCCGTTTTGGTCACCGGTGAGTTCGCCGCGTCGTTCTCTACGTGCTGGTGCCCTCCGTTCGCGTCGTCGCGCCGTCGTTCGCCGGCGAGCTTGTGCGCCCGAGCCGCCGCCGGTGGTGACGTCACCGCTGACGTCATCGTTGCCGTCCGTCGTGGTCCGGCCGTGGACCGGTCGATCTCGGCCGTTCGTTTTGGTTAGGATCGATCTCGGCCGTTCGTTTCCGTGAGCCGCCGCCGTGCACCCGGTCCACCGCAAACCCTAGCCGCTGACGCAATAAACCCCTTTTTCCTTTTCAAAAATAATTCATTATTGCGCCATAATTCAATTAAAACCCATATAAGTGTTTTAATCTGATTTAATCTTTAAAAATTCATAACTAATTCATCTTAGCTCGGATTTAGTTGGTTCAAGTCTCTAAATTTTTCTAAAATTGAGATCTACATGTTAAAAATATCCACATGTATTGTTCATGCTTGTTTATGTGCTGTTTTGGTGTTTTTGCTCTTTTCTGTTTAGATTCCGACATTTCCGAAGAGTTCGTTTTCGCAGGAGAAGAATTTGAAGAGTTCCAAGGGCAGCAAGGAAAGTCACACAGATCCCAAACAACCCTTTGAGCATGTTGATCCCGTTTAAAGCTATTGTTTCTATTCAACTATTGCATTTATTTTCGAATGTCATTGGGTGGAATTAACCTATTGTTTGTTATACCCCTTTTGTTCTTGATTACTTTATTCCTTGATACCTTGGGTTATTATAACTTGACTAGTTGGGCTTTATATATTGGTTCAGCTAGATATTAGATATGATTGCTTAGCCATGCTTAGAAACATTAGCACACTATTGGGATAACTTATGACTCACTATTATTTAATGATGGCTTAATGATAGTTCACGATGGTCAATCGTGATTGGTTAATTAATTACTTGCCAACTAAAACTTGATAATGGTGGGTTGTGAGCACATGGTTTTGAGAGTCGTGCTCATGACAATTAAGGACCGGTTCACGAGTTTCAGTTGTGAAACATTAACCGTGCCAACCACAAGCCAGCGTGGGCAACGGCTTTACCTTTTGTATAGCATGGTTCATTGCGGAGCACCAGACTGAGAAGTGGTGGAGATAATCCCACGGGGGTCGCTGGGGAGTCCATGCCTTGTTTATAAGGGGGTGATTATGATCTAGGAATGGTGCACTGTGGTGGATTGTGTTGTGCGAGGGGTACTGTCACAGCTCCTTTCCGAGGTACCGTGGTGGTATTGAGGCACATGGTGACATGTTGTGGGGCTGTGTCTTGTGGGTACAGTGGTACACCTCTGGCCAGAGTAAAACTATTCGAATAGCCGTGCCCGCGGTTATGGGCGGGTCTAACAATGTCTTTCGTGATTAGTCTCACACTTCTCACCATAATAAAAGATGCTATAACTGGTAATAATTTGATTAGCTCCTGGTTTGGAATGGTATATTCCTGGTTTGGAGATAGAACTGTGCAGCCAGGATTGGTTGTACAGAATGGTTGGGCCTATGCAACAGGGTATGTTGTATAGCGTTGGATTAATATTGCTTAAATTACTACTTAACTATTTTATTAAATTCTGAAATGTTTATTAAATGTTGTTTATGCAAATGAAACCCTACTATGCCATCCTTTGTTACCCTGTGCACTTGCATATTTGCTGCGTGGCTTGCTGAGTATGTCATATACTCACCTTGCAATCATTCATCAGAGGAGGAGTTCTACAGTGATGCTGATGGTGTGGAGGATTAGGTATAGCCCTGGTCAAGCTGCCTGTGGAGTGGAGTCGTCTGCGCCGTTTATCTTATTTTTCCGCTGCTTAGATCTTTATTGATTGAGAGGAACTATCTACCTCTGTAATGACATTTTATTCGCTTATTAATTAGAGTAATAATTGTACTCTATTATCAATTTGTTATTGTGTGCCTCGGCTGATTCCTGGACGAGGGTTCACACACATGTAAGCGTTTGGAATTTTGGATAAAAATTCCGGGCGTGACAGCACTTGGGTGGCCCGGGGAGCTAGCCGGGCGGCGACGGTGGCAACCATCCGGATCCGCGCCCGCCCGGATACTATGCCAACGGCGGGGAGGCAGTTGGCGGCGGGGCGGAGTGGTGGCGGTGTGTGGTGGCGGCGGACAGGGCTGGCGGCGGTGGAAACCCGCTCAGATCCGCGCCGTTTTGGCCGGAACTGGCGGGGCTGACGCCGGGCGACGGCGTGCGGCGGAGAAGCGGGCGTGCTGGTGGCGGGGAAGAGGCGGTCGCGGCGACGGTTGCGCGGGCGGCGCAGCTGGCCGCAGGTGAGGCCGGGCGCGGGCGGCGTGGTCGAGCGCGTCGGTAGGCGGCGGTTGAAGCGAGGCGATGGATGGGAGGCCGCTTCCCGGGCACCGCTGAGGATGGCGATGGCGGGCAGAGGCGGATCTGGCCCCCCCGAGGGCGGATCCGGTGTGGGGCAAGCTCGCGGTGGTGGCGGCACTGCGGAGCTCGCGGCGACATCGGCGGCGGCAATGGCGCGGGAGCACGGGGCAACGGTGACGGTGGCAACGGCGTGGAGTTCATAGCGACGGTGGCAGCAGCAACTTGGTCGGCGGCGGCAGCACGATGGCTGGTCGACAGCATTGGCGGCTGTGGAGGATTAGGTGTAGCCCTGGTCAAGCTGCCTGTGGAGTGGAGTCGTCTGCGCCGTTTATCTTATTTTTCCGCTGCTTAGATCTTTATTGATTGAGAGGAACTATCTACCTCTGTAATGACATTTTATTCGCTTATTAATTAGAGTAATAATTGTACTCTATTATCAATTTGTTATTGTGTGCCTCGGCTGATTCCTGGACGAGGGTTCACACACATGTAAGCGTTTGGAATTTTGGATAGAAATTCCGGGCGTGACAGCACTTGGGTGGCCCGGGTTACTAGCCGGGCGGCGACGGTGGCAACCATCCGGATCCGCGCCCGCCCGGATACTATGCCAACGGCGGGGAGGCAGTTGGCGGCGGGGCGGAGTGGTGGCGGTGTGTGGTGGCGGCGGACAGGGCTGGCGGCGGTGGAAACCCGCTCAGATCCGCGCCGTTTTGGCCGGAACTGGCGGGGCTGACGCCGGGCGACGGCGTGCGGCGGAGAAGCGGGCGTGCTGGTGGCGGGGAAGAGGCGGTCGCGGCGACGGTTGCGCGGGCGGCGCAGCTGGCCGCAGGTGAGGCCGGGCGCGGGCGGCGTGGTCGAGCGCGTCGGTAGGCGGCGGTTGAAGCGAGGCGATGGATGGGAGGCCGCTTCCCGGGCACCGCTGAGGATGACGATGGCGGGCAGAGGCGGATCTGGCCCCCCCGAGGGCGGATCCGGTGTGGGGCAAGCTCGCGGTGGTGGCGGCACTGCGGAGCTCGCGGCGACATCGGCGGCGGCAATGGCGCGGGAGCACGGGGCAACGGTGACGGTGGCAACGGCGTGGAGTTCATAGCGACGGTGGCAGCAGCAACTTGGTCGGCGGCGGCAGCACGATGGCTGGTCGACAGCATTGGCGGCTGTCGGCTGCGGTGGCTTTGGGGTTCTCGCGGCAGAGGCAGTGGCGCGGAGCTCGTGGCGACAGTTGCGGTAGCGGCTGGACGACGGCGATGGGGCTGCGGCTGGCCGGCGGCGAGGTGGTCGTTGGCAGCAGTGGCTGCGGTGGTGGTGGGAGGTGGCATGGTGGCCTCGGTGGGCTAGCCGAGGGCATGGCAGACGGCTGCATTTCGCCGGCGCGGGAGAGTACGGTGGAGGGGACGGAGACCGGCTTGGTGCAGAGAGGCGCAGCCGATGGCAGCGAAGGCTGGCTCGGCGCGAGAGGCGCGGGCGGCGGAGATGGAGGCCGGCTTGGCGCGAGAGGCACGGCCGATGGAGGGAGGCCGAATTGGCGCGAGAGGTGCGTCCGGTGGAGGAGGCCGATTTGGCGTGAGAGGCGCGGCCGGCGGTGGAGGAGGCGACCCTGGTGCATGGAGGAGCTGCTGGTGGGTGTGGCACGGTCTTCGGCATACAAAGGCTGGTCGACGGGAGGCGCCGGTGCGGGGGTCCCACATGTCGGCAGAGGATGAGTGGTGGTGGAGCATCGGTGCGTCAGCCGTGGATTCGCAGGTGGTGAACGGCTGGTGAAAACCCAGCCCAGCCTTGGCCGGGCCGACAACGATGGTTAATTCCCCCTCCTGAGGGCGTTGTCATGCTGTCTCACCCCTCAAGGGTGGTTGCCGGGCGAAAGCCCAGTCTTGGCTCCTTTGAGCCCCGCAGCGGCGCGGAGCTCGTGGCGACAGTTGCGGTAGCGGCTGGACGACGGCGATGGGGCTGCGGCTGGCCGGCGGCGAGGTGGTCGTTGGTAGCAGTGGCTGCGGTGGTGGTGGGAGGTGGCATGGTGGCCTCGGTGGGCTAGCCGAGGGCATGGCAGACGGCTGCATTTCGCCGGCGCGGGAGAGTACGGTGGAGGGGACGGAGACCGGCTTGGTGCAGAGAGGCACAACCGATGGCAGCGAAGGCTGGCTCGGCGCGAGAGGCGCGGGCGGCGGAGATGGAGGCCGGCTTGGCGCGAGAGGCACGGCCGATGGAGGGAGGCCGAATTGGCGCGAGAGGTGCGTCCGGTGGAGGAGGCCGATTTGGCGTGAGAGGCGCGGCCGGCGGTGGAGGAGGCGACCCTGGTGCGTGGAGGAGCTGCTGGTGGGTGTGGCACGGTCTTCGGCATACAAAGGCTGGTCGACGGGAGGCGCCGGTGCGGGGGTCCCACATGTCGGCAGAGGATGAGTGGTGGTGGAGCATCGGTGCGTCAGCCGTGGATTCGCAGGTGGTGAACGGCTGGTGAAAACCCAGCCCAGCCTTGGCCGGGCCGACAACGATGGTTAATTCCCCCTCCTGAGGGCGTTGTCATGCTGTCTCACCCCTCAAGGGTGGTTGCCGGGCGAAAGCCCAGTCTTGGCTCCTTTGAGCCCCAACGGACGGCGGCGGCGGTTTTCCGTTGCTCCTCTTCTTGGAGACGTCGTTTTGGCATCCCCTAGCGTAGTGCGATCTCGTCTTTGTTCCTTTGTTGATCTAGCGGCGACCGGTCACGCTCAGCAGCGGCCGGTCCGGTGCTAGCCTCCTCCTGGTCGTGTGTGTTGGCGCTGTCGGTGTGTGGGGGTTGTATATTTTTTCCTTTTTCCGTGTTATGACCCTCTAGGGTTGTAATCTTGTAATTTGTTCCTACTCTATCAATAGAACTTCGCACCATCTCGTGTGAGTCGTTAAAAAAAAAGATTGCAGCGAGAAATAATGAGGTCGATTGACCCAATGCAATCAGGATTCATCAGATACAGATCAATCATTGAAAACTTCATCCTTGCCTCAGAAATGGTACAAGCAGCCCTCAAGAATAGGAAGCCGATGTTAGTCCTCAAACTTGACTTCCACAAAGCTTTCGATATTGTAAGCTGGGAAGCCCTGTTTCGGATCCTTAAAGTAGGAGGATTCCCAGACAAATGGATTAGTTGGACAAAATCAATCGTCTGTACAGGTAAAGCTCAGATAGTCATCAACGGGCAAAAGGGTGATCAAATACAGTATAAAAGGGGGGGTCCGACAAGGGGACCCCCTCTTGCCCTATCTCTTCATTTTGGTTACTGACGTGCTTCAAAATATGATTCAGCAGGCCTTTAACACAGGAACCCTACAACACCCGCTAGACATCGAAGGTGCTCCACCTACCTTGCAATATGCAGATGACACCCTGATCCTACTAAAGGGTGAAGCAGACCAAGCTACAGCTCTTAAAGAAATTCTGGACTCCTTTACAAGATTTTCAGGTCTGCAAATAAATTTTCATAAGAGCACTCTTGTCCCCATACACCTGAATGAAGAAAACAAAGATGCAGTGACACAAATCCTACAATGCCAGACCATCTTGGACTGCCCCTGTCAACCACCAAAATTTCACACAATATGCTGTTACCTGTCATATCAAAGATTGACAAATACCTTGCAGGTTGGATGCCACTTTCAAAAGGAGGAAGACTAACTATGATAAATGCAGTAACCTCAGCAATTCCAACTTACTACATGTCCTGCTGCATCTGGCCAGAAAAATCTATCGAGGCAATTGACAAAATAAGGCGTGCTTTCTTTTGGAAAGGGGAAAAAACCGTCAGAGGAGGACACTGCCTGGTAGCCTGGAAGACAGTCCTACAAAAACAGCAAGGAGGACTAGGTTTCAAAGACCTAAGAGCACACAATACAGCATTAATTTTAAAGCTAGGAAACAAGGTGCTCTCAGGCACAGGGGATCCAATGGCTAAATGGTTTCGAGAGAGATATCTGCAATACATTATACAGCTGCATCCCAGAAGCAACGATACACCGACCTGGAAACTTATCCTTTCACATTTTCAGACTCTCTGCTCGATAACACGAGTCAAGCTCGGAAATGGCAAAACAACTTTGTTTTGGAAAGATAATTGGTTCCATCAACGTCTAGAGTTTGCTTACCCAGTTTTATTCTCCTTTGCTATACATAAAGAGTGCACAGTTCAGTCGCAGTTCAGACAAAGCTCCTGGCAAATACAGCTCCACCCAAATCTATCCTACCAAGCAGAAACAGAACTGCACACTCTGTTACAGATCTTACAGCATGTCAACCCAATCCCAGAGGAAGCAGACACAAGAGAATTTCTTTATCCTGCACCGCAGGTCTCAACAAAAAATGCCTATCAGATGCTGACATACCATGGATCCTTATGGAAACCGGCAGACTTTATTTGGATTCACACCATCCCAACAAACTGTAAGATTTTCCTTTGGCTAGCATTCAGAGACAGGCTAAACACCAAAGCCAATATGGTCAGCAAAAAATGGAATGAAGATCCCCACTGCTCCCTTTGCCCGGCTCTAGAATCAGCTGATCACATACTCCTAAGATGCAAAAATGCCAATAATCTATGGGAAAAACTAAACTTACTGCAGCTGGCCAACAACTCAGAATCAAGCTCGGCTTTCCTTCAAGCAATCATAGACAGCAATCGGTCTTCAAAAGGAATAGAACCAATTTGGTTCGCTGCTTGCGCCTACACGCTATGGAAATCCCGCAACAACAGAGTGTTTGAAGGTCAGCTTGACAACCTACAGCACATCACACAGCAAGTCTCAGACACCCTTGATCTTTGGAGCATGAGAACCAATGAATCAAACTGGCAGAAAATTCAATCCTGGTGTACCAGGCTCTCTTAGTATAAGAACCATTGTTTATATCTTTGTAAATCCACCACCCCTTCTCTTTTCTTTTTATTTTTGTTTCTTCTCTTCTTCCTTTTCTTCTTTCTTCTTTCTGTTCTAGGTTAACTATAACCTCTAACTTGTAAGCTGGAAACCTCATTTCTATTAATGAAATGACTATAAGGTGGAGCATGTTGGAAATTTGGTCATAATTCGGCATATTTTAATCCAAAATAACAAGATAATAAACATGATATTTACAATGGGATTTGATCCAGTGATAGTGGTGAATGTAATCAACATGAGCATGCTTAATGTAGAATAAGCATCAACAATCACATAATAACACAATGTTGACATTGCGATGAACATTAACAGTAAAAATTCTAATTGAAATAATGTAAGAAGGTTATACCCCAAGAATGGTCCTCCGCTGGAGTTTGAGGCAGTATTGCCTCCGTTGGTGTTGACGGGAGCCTCCTTCTCCTTGTATCCAGTGTTGCCGTTGTCTCCGGTGTTCGACATATTGGTGAAGGTGAAGTAGATGTTGACGAACAGTGAGTAGTCGCGCCTTGCGCTCCCCAAAAACCTGATCGCCCGCCCGTCCGTGCAAATGTCACAGCAGCGCGTGGTTTCGGAGGCCTACTCTCCCAACGCGTGTGCACACACTCGTCGGGATGGGATTACCGTAGCAGCAACAACGTTGGAAAATGGATGAAAGTGTGTCTCACTTCTCTCGCTGGAGATCAAATTCATTCTCATTTTATAAGAGGAATGGAATATGAAGAGTAAGAGTCATGGAATAGGAAGAGGAATAGAGTAACTAATTCTCATCAATTAGCCATCAACCATCCTCCACTACACAACCATCAACCAACAATCAATTAGGAGTAATTGATGTAAGTTACCAATGGAATAGAAAGAAGAATAGAGCAACTAATTGTCATCAACTAGCCATGAACCATCCTCCACTATACAACCATCAACCATCCATCAATTAGGACTAATTGATATAAGTTACCAATTCCCTAATCAAATGGATTAATTCTCAAAACTCTTCATCCTATTGATATCCCATAAAAGAATAAATACACATGAATTCCTAGTATAATGAGCCTTGGAATTTATTTGATTTAATTGATTTAAATGGATCAATTACCCAATTAAATCTAACAGAGCACGCTCTACCTTCTTCCGTCAAAAAACAAGACTAATGTAAGGCCATGTTTGATTTAGCTTAGGATTATTATAATCTGGATTATTAGAAATAAGCTGAAACAAACATATATATATATATATATATATATATAGCTTATTATGATAGATTATTATAATCTATAAGCCAGATTACTATAATCTAGTAATCCACTCTAAAGGTGCTTTTTAAGATTATTGGGTGGCTAACAGCTAACAAACAGCTTATAATCTAAGAAAACAAACAGGTCACAACTTATTCTATATCGGCTTATTATAATTCAGCTTACAGTAATCTGGCTCAATAATCAGATTATAATAATCTTAAGCTGAAACAGACAGGGCCTAAATCTCAAATAATGAAGTGTTGGTTTCCTATAAAATTTGAGTACATGATAATTTAACAAAATTTAAACAAGATTTTGGAGGTAGGCTTAGGCTCAAGCCCTAGATGTCCTAAGCCTGCATCCGCGCCCAGTTGTGACCGTGGTCAGCTCAGCATTGGGACCCAACACATACGTGATGGCAACGTGATGCCCGATCTTCCGATAGGTATTGAGAACTCTCAATTTGGTGGAAACTTGACATACATGACCCGGCTTCCGATCAACATGATCTGAACCCTATAATTGCCACACCACGTCTTCTCTGGTTATCAATCATGCTCTACCCGGTTGACCTCGGCGAGAAGGCTAATTGTTGCATACAATCAAAGAACACAAACAAGAATAAGGTAGATTGCAACACAATTTACAGACGAATTTCTAAGATCCCAAGGTTGGGGGTTCCACAAACTGAATTAACGATGAAACTGTAATAACAAAAATAATCTAAATAAAATCTGACTCTAAACTATGACGGCTATTGAATAAATATGATTAGGGACGTCCTAGGGTTAGCCCTAGAGCATCCACCCATTGGACCTAGCCTAGAAAAAGTATACAATGACCAATGCCTAAATCAGACTCGGACATATTGAAGTACATGACTTGTTTTGCAGATTCCTGACAACTAAAGAGGAATTTTCAAGAAGCACTCATAGCCCCTGAGATTCCTTCTAAATCAGTGGCTAGATCTGTTTGAAGTTGATTCTTCCAAGAGGCCCGAATCCTAATCCGAATCCAAAATGTGCAGAAGTTCATCTCTCGTCTTCTATGGACCAAAAGTGACGTGATGATATAGGAGTTGACTTGAGGGAGGATATTGGTTTGGTCCCCAATCAACTTTTTTGATTATCCCTGTATTCCTTTCGCTCGATCGCTTTCCCTTTACCCAAGCAAGAACCTCTGCAAACAAGAATACACTGATATTACAATATTGTTTGTTCAAATATATAACACATAAATCTTACATAGAAAACATGCACTTTGGTTGATGAATACATAAGGTAGCCATGGTCATATCCGAGCTAGGATGTCCTCATCAATACGAACAAATCCCAGATGTGCCTCACGAGGAATTTCAATGTATAAACTTCCGTCTATATTTAATATATACAAACTTCTGGGCATTAGTTTTGGATATACATTTTTGATGTATAAAACTTTCGGTGTATATATAAACTTTCATGTATAAATTTATCCGAAAATAAATTATACGACATCATCACATGCACGCAGTTACAAAAACGGGTTGTAGATACATATTCATGTGGGCACGGTGTATGCCTGTTCGCCTGTTTTTGTTCCAAATACATGTTTTGAGCTATCTTGTCCAATTTTTTATTGAGAATATATACACACACACTGTTTTATCATCTCTTGCCAATTGTGGTGCTCCTTCATTTGCAAAAGTACTACGTACACACCGGTTAATAGACATGAACTGATGGATGTGATGTGTTAATATCACAATGTCTCTTGGAGGAATGGGATTAGATCTCTATTATGCAACCCCCTCCTGCTATAGAATAGTCTAAGAGTGATGATTGCATAATGTTTACAAAAGTAGAGACACAAGATGTGAAGGTGAGGCATTATTTCATTCATTCTCTTCTCATTCGCTAGTGTACAATAGCTCCTTCTCCTCTTTATTTATAGGCATAGCAATATATGCTTTTCATATTTAGTGAGTGGGCCATTAGTTGGTCACCTGGGCCAAGCCTTCTTGGGCCAGCGGTTTTCCAACAATCTCCACCATTACATGAGATGCAGTGATTACACAGCTTTGAGAGTACTTAATGGAAGAAATTAGTTTTTCTATCGGCGAAAAAGGTAGGGGATCCATCTACATGTGTTTGAAAGGAACCCAAGACAAGGCATGCTAGAAGCATATATTTTTCATATGCATGACAAAATCTCATGCCAAAAGAGAATCTAAATGGCATCTATTTTTATAGTACAGAACTCTAATGAAATTGCTGATGTATCAATTTCATTTGAAAGCGCTAAGTATCCCTAGGTAAATGTGTTGGTAGGAAGTAGCAAATGCATCACATAATTATAAATATATACTTCAAAGTAGTGAATGTGTCTCGCAACTGTAAATAGCGGTAGCATCTTGCAAGATACTAGAAAAACATCTATGTCCAAAAGTCGGCAGCATCATATATTTAAAAATGATGAGAGCAGAACTAAACTTAGTGGCAACAAAGTTGATCAGAGCAGTAACAAGATACAGATCGATTAGAATGATTTGATCAGAATATTAATTAAGGGCAATACCTCCTTCAGTTTTTCTAACATGGACTAATAGCAACAAAGGAGAATAATCCAACATAAACTCTAACAACAAGGAGAGGAGATTATTACGGTTTTGTCTTTTTGAGATGGTGGTAGCAGCAAGTAGGGTTTTGGACAAGCAAAGAGAGGGCACTGGCCGGAGGTAGCATGCACTGGATGGGCTCAGCCAGATGAGTAGGCCAGCAGGACGTAAGAAAGAGCGGAAGAACAAACCACCGATGAGCATCTAGAAATACTCCAAGCCACAATTTATATAAACTGTGGTTATAAATTACGTTCTTTGAAAATTCAATTAAAACACGATCAAGTATTTTTAGATCTACTAGAAATACTCCAAGCCACATCTAAACTTTTCTTGAACGAGTTCTATTGTTAGAGATTTTCCTTTAAACTTTTGATGTTTCTAAAATATATTGAATTTTAATTTTTAATTTCAAAAAATATTAGCGTGTGGCATATGCCCTCCATGGGCTGATACACACTCGTGGTTCTATCCTTTCTTAATATAATGAATTAACTCGAACGTATTAAGGTTGGAGTGGAATAGGATATAAGCTAACACTCACCTACCTAAACTTCTGAGGTGAGAACCAATTAAAATCACATCCACATGGGTCACTGTTGACGATCGTTTGCGATCAGTTTCGACCGTCCATATTACCAAAATAAAGGAGAACTAGTTATACTTGCAATGCATATTTGTGTTAGAATAATAATATTCCACTAGTATTAGGATTACTAACCACTTACAGATAATGAACACAAAATGGATGAATATCGACATCAAATCAAACGATCAATCAATTGGACGATGTTGAGAATCAGACTTATGCATGAATGGGCCAAGAACAAGTCTGCAGAGAGGAGCAATAGAGGAGGCCGCCAGCCGAAGTTGGGCCGGTTTGGCCCAGCCCATGGGTCGGCCGAACCAGGGGTTCGGCCAAACCTATCCTGGCACTGTTGGATGCAGGGTTGTGACTGGAAGGTGTGGATTAGCTCCCAATGACGGTTGGAGGATATTTCTGACCATTCCAGCCGTCACAATCGTCATTGGGAGGCTATATAAAGCCTTCATCTCCTCTTTCTCCACACACTTCAAGCAAGCTCTCTCATATTCTCTCAAGCTTAGTTTAGTATTCTCAAGCTAGTGGAGTAGGAATAGAATAGAAATCAGAGTCCGGAAGTCTTCGGAAGAGTTCGGGTATGGCTCTAGCAGCATTCCTTTCTTCTTTTGTAAGACTTATACTTTATTTAGAATATTCTTCTTTATATAATTCTTGTATTGAAATACTTTCCGCGTATATGAATGCCAACTTTACTTTATATTCGAGTTATATTGATTATACTGCTAGCTTATCTGGGAGATGCATAGATACGGGTATAATGTTTGCTTATGCAATTACTCTATGTCATGGCGATGATATTAGAGTAATATCTGGTAGTTTAGGCGTGGTGTCTAGATTATTGGGTATCATTATTTGGGGTTATATGCTGCGGAAGAGAGGTGGGCCGCTGATGGTGACAACTCAGTTCGGGTATTCCTCCGCGCGTGTATATAGTCCTAAGTTAATTTCCTGGGGAGGGTATTCCTCCGTATTTAGCCCCGGTTGTATGGTCATGACGGGCTATGGTAAGGAACTCGGCAGTCAAGGGTGGCTTCTCAAAGTACCAGGAGGGCATCGGAAAGAGGTATTAGCTAGTTAATCTTATAACGAGGATGTATGTATAGTATGTATACTAGAAGTATAGGAATAGATTCTTTTCTATTTTCTTTCCACTCAGCTTAGATAGTTTAATATGAGAATGAGTAGACTTATGTTTGTGTGTCATTGTACCCTTTGGATTATATTAACCCCTGCTTAGTCTATGATTATTACAAGTAACATATAAACTATTAGTACGGTTCTCTCTCCTATAATTTTCCCACGGGATTAAACAAATATGATACCCTTGGAATACTCTCGAGTGAAATGCTACAATAGTATATTCATGCGCTTGCGGATAAACTCTGTAACCATAATATACCAAGTGTATTTCTGCGCCATTGCTGGGAATTATATTTCTAGTAATGTCGTTAAGAAATACCAACAGTCACAACTCTCACCTACAACACTACTACAAGTTGTTAGCGGGCTTTGGTATTACAAACGCACTATTGATTAGCCCCATCAAGATCAGAGTCATTCTCTACCCTCAACACATATATATTCAAATCTAAGTGTATTTTTTTCCTATTGTTATTCGTGTACTCTATGTAATTTCAATTGATGGTATCTTATGGAATTAACAATGACCACTTCAAATATCTTGAAAATTCATTCAAACATTAAAACAATGAATTTAATGCCGTATTGATGATATCCAATATATCAAATCTTATGCATTCAATGCTACATTTATGTATGATCTTCTCATATTGTTTATTTATTCCCTTAAAGCATTAAAAGAAGATTATCAAATCTATTGCATTGAATATATTAATTCTTTTAGTAGACTAACAGCTATTTAGTAACCATTGGAGTTCTACAGATAATATATCTTTTCCAAGTATCAATACCAATCTTCCAAGATTTTCAAAATGAAAGAAAGTCAAGTGATTATCGTCACTCTTCTTCTATTTTGTATTGTTCTAATCATTAGGGGGGAAGAAATTCAACATATAAACCCAAGGAGAAGTACTAATCAAGATCTTACAAATCAAGAGGTTAATAAAATCATCCAGGTATGTGAAAAAATGGATCCTTTTAAGTATACTTAGCATCTTTTTTTTACCTAACAAGCAAAAGAAACGTCAAATTAGGCTGAAGATGGTGATGTCTATGATTGCATTGATATAAATAGGCAACCAGCCTTTAACCATCCATTGTTAAAAGACCACAAAATTCAGGTAAGCCAACATTTTTCCTCCTAAGATTTAACATCATGTCTAAATGTGTTGCCACTTAGTTTTTTTTTTGGAATGTAATATTCTTTCCTCTTGTTTCTTTTGGGGGGGGGGGAGGGAGGGGGTGAGTGGTCTATAATATTCACTAATATGGCTTCTTTTTGATAATATCGTTAATTTATTTGTTTATAACACTTTGACCTGGCACTATTTTTATGTGTATATTTGCTCCATCATAAAAGAATGTTGTAGAAACCTAATCATGTTTAGAGAATTTCTTTATAGTGAGATATAAACTCATTGTTTATAAAATGACCATGTTTTGCTTGTCATTTAGTTGAAACCAAACTCATTTCCGGTGGGGATTGATGTCGAAAATCCATTTATGTATCCCATCTCAGAAGCACAACTACCCACTGCTGAATGCCCCACAGGAACCATCCCAATACTATGCAACAATAGACAAGAAAATATTTCAACTAAGAATACTGACGCAATTGTCACCAGTCAACAACAAGAGGTAAGAATTTTTAAAATATTTTTAGATGTTTCAATTCTCATGAGTTGATTGTGATAACATATTGTTTTTGTATGGAGTTGTTCTTATGTCCAGCTCTCACAATAGACTCACAAAACCACTATATTACCATTGGTTGATGTAACAACTATACAAAAGAGTTAGGTGAATCTCCATCTTTAAGTGCTAATAAATGAAGGCAATCAACACCATTAGATGAAATATGTGTTACTAAATGACTAAAACAGTTACACAATAGCTAAATACTCCCTCCTACTTTGCACTGATTTTACTCCTTCTAATTTATAAATAAAATTATAGGTATTAAAAATATGTATGTTATTGAAATAGGAGTATATTACATGGTAGATAAAAACATATAATTTCTGCCATCACATTCAAACAATTTCAAATATATCAAGTCCCAATCAAAATTGTCAAATAGTAGGAAATGGATGGCGCCTTACTTTGAAATATTTGTTAGTAAGATTATATTGTTGCAGTTTCACATCCTCTTTAAAAAAACCAACTCCTTTGTGAATGTTTTTCAACAAAAATACCGACTTTAAATTATTATATTCCCTAAGTATTTCAAAGTTATACTACAGAACACTAATGAATTTATATTAGCTTTATCCTGACTGGCAACAGTCCTCTATGTATTAATATGATGTAAAACTTTGCATATGTATGTAAGTTATTATTATTCACAAAAGTCTTTTCATTTTTTTCCTTGTAGGTAGCAGGGATAAAATATTTTGACGACATATATGGAACACAGGCCACAATAAACATTTATGAACCAATGGTGAAGCATCATTGGGATCTTAGTGGATCATGGATACAAATTGAAAATGGCCCAGATGTAATTGGTGCTGGCTCTTGGGTCTCACCAAGCTTCAGTGGTGATAGCTTTGCTAGGTTTCATATTTCATGGGTAATACGTATACATTTTTTCTAGAAATACATTGGATTCTACACTATATTTTTTTTCTAGTCTCTATACTGCTGAGATAGTATAGAGCTACATTTCCACTGCTTAGGTACTGACTTTAGAAAAAAAAATTGGTAACAGCGTGATGAAGTACAAAACAAGTCTTGCAACAATCATAAGTGTCCTGGTTTCGTCCAAGTTAGCAGTTCTGTTGTTCTTGGAGGCAGAATACAGCCAGTTTCTGTATATAACGGACCGCAATACGCAATTAAGTTTCTTATATTTAAGGTATTCTCTGTCCTACATGCAGTTTAATATGCCTTGATTATTTACTTTATGAGAATAAAAAATTTAAGTGGTTCACTATGATGTTAATTGAGTTACCTAAGATATATAAAATTAATAAAACATTAATTTATTTCGCTTATTATGTCATATCTATATACTATGTTCACATATGATGTGTCAGTGCATTGCTTAGATTTAAATTACCTGTTAGCACACACCATTACAACAATATCTTAAATCATAATAGGCATTCCATGGACTTCCAACAATAGCATTTCACTTTGAATGCCTCACTGTACGAAATGATGTTATAGACTTATAGCAACAAACGTTTATTAAGACCCCTAGAATACAATAAGGAAATAAGTACCATGCCTTGTGCATTCAATAGCATATTGCCCTTGCAGTCTTTTGAACAATCATTTTTTAGATGATTTTGAAGAAGCATTTACTTGACAATTTAATCTTGATGAATTTTAGGACCCAAAGACTGAAAATTGGTGGTTGGTGTATGGTGAGGAGAAAACAGCAATAGGATATTGGCCAAGTTCTCAATTTAGTTACATGAAGGAAATGGCCAGTAAAGCATTGTGGGGTGGATATGTTCAGGGTCCAACAGCCTCAGAAGACTCTCCACAAATGGGCAGTGGACATTTTGCTTCTGAAGGGTATGGCAAAGCAGCTTTTGTTAGAGATATTCAGGTCGTGAACGACGACAACATGCGTGTTATTCCAAACCCAGTTAAAGCCGATCCAGGATCTACTAATCGAAGGAAATATACCTATGAATATTATGGACATAATCCCAATGGTATGCATGTTTACTATGGTGGACCAGGTAGCTACAGCTAATGGTGTACTCTGCAAACTATAATAACATATGTATTTGTATGTGAAACAATGGGATTCATAGCTATATATGTGCCATCACAATTCACACCACCGTGCATCCACCTTCTAGTCATAATATCTTCAAATTTTTTTCCTAAATAGTGAAGATAATCTTGTGTAATGAAAAGTCTGCTATGCAAATTAACAAATCACGATAATGCACATAGACAACAGGTAGAGAATCTAATTCAGGGAAAATATACACAACGGCTAATTAGAGAACAAAAATATGATCAATCAATGGTCGACATGTAAAAGAATTACAGCAGATAACGCTATGACAATGTGAAACTCTGTTCTTCTCGTCATCCTAATTGCGTACCTTCCCTGTGTGACTTACAACAACCCAGTCTCAGCTCTGAATCAAGTTCCTTCCCTGGAGCATCTCATGCTCTCATCAATCAACTTGAATGTCTTCTTTACAAGTTTCTGGTCTAGGGCCGTTGTTCTGTAGATTTTGAACACGTGGTCTACACAGTCAGGCCTGCTGCTCCGGATGTACAGCTCTTCAAATTTCTTAACAATCCTTTTAAACTCTGTATGGGTATAAAGGGCAGCCTTTACCTTTTGTATTTTCTTCTCAAATATCATAGCTGAAATGAATAGAAATATTATAAGAAAAAGAAAGCAGACAAAGATAAGTTCAACAAACAAAGAATCTATACTTACTCACTAATGGCTGCATAAAAGATAAAATTATGATAGATTAACACTCTTAAAACTATCAGAATTTTCTGTTAGAGCCAAAATATAATGAATTTGAGATTAAGACTTACACATAAGTGTGTTAATTGTGTGCATGCGAAGCTTTTGTGCACAGAATGTGTTCCCTCTATTCTAGAGCATCAAGCTTGGCCTGCCATCGGTTGCCGATTATTTTTCCTAGTTTCAGTGATGATTTCCTTCGTGTTACCTCAAACGTGTTTCCTTATCCCATTAGCAGCCTATAGTATGTGTGTAGTTGCAGGGCTGTCCCGTCAAATTTGGGGGGCCTGTGCAAAGTCGTAATGAATGATAAAAACTTAATTAATGATATTATATGACAATAATTTATTCTCTGTAATATATTTCATAGCAATGTAAAATGGTCTAAAATTTTGCATAATATTCACTTGAAAAGCGACATATTTCCTATTCCGATTTATTGAAGACATGCTTCAAAATTAAAATACAGGATGTAAGAACAAAAATTGATTTTGTGTATATAGTAGATGAATCTAAATACTTAATAATCGATACACCAAAATTAGGGATTACCACATTAGAAATTACCAGGAAGTAGGAATTAGGGTGGCACTTGTTCACCAGACACCAGGCAAGCACCTAGCAGACAGGAAGCAGGAGCTCAGCCAGTCAGCCGCTCAGGCATTCAAGCGGTCGTGGCATCACGTTAGGGGCGTGGTACCGACAGGCATCTGGGACTCAGGAGTCAAGTCATAGGCAGCGACAGCGTCAAGCGGCACGACCGCACGAGAGCAAGGGGAGAGAGACGAGGCATCGTTTACTCCTCTTGGTGATTGGCGAGGCCATAGCCCAAAGGCCAAAGCGGCACGAACATGCGATCGAACGCAAAACGATGTGAACAAAAAAATAGCAGATTTTCAGGACTAATTGGGTTACCAATTTACTTGTTAAACTTTATATCTAGTGTTGGAGTTTTGGGCCTAGGGGGCCCTGTGCAAGCGCTCTGGTCGCGCCTCCCAAGGGGCGGCCCTATGTAGTTGAGACCTATGTGACCCAGATATGATTGTTGTTGATGCTTTAGTTTAGGTTGATAGTGGTTAGCTTATAAACCTTCGACACTCCAAACATGGAACCCTGTGTTGAACATTTTACACGAACAAGGATAAAAGTACAAACGGAGTGTTATGCATACATTGACCACTACATATAGGAGCTAGGCTACGTGAGAGCTAGGCTATTGTGAATCTTGGAGACATAATTCAAAGAGCACCTAGACGCTTAGTGGGTTTTGGCTAATTGATGATAAAAAAAATAAGAGACTAATGTGCTCATTGAGTATATAAGCAGGGGATTAGTCCGATGAGGAAGATGATGAATAAGGAGGAATATGTCAGTTTCCTAAATATGGGATATCATATGCATGTGTGCTTAGCTCGGCTAGGAAGCATAGACCAAATCCTAAGCCTCATGCATGTAGACAATCGACTAGGCAGCATAGACCAAATCCTAAGCCTCATGCATATAGACAAAGTCCTAACTAGACAAGGAAGGAGTACCAAATAAGGAAAGAAAAACATAGTCCTATTTAGGCTTGGCAGGACTACTCAGATTGTATCCATACTTGCCTTCCTAATTCTACTTGAACATGGGGCCATCCGAGGGTATAAAAACAAAACCCTTAGGAGGGAAGGGGAGAAGCCTAAGAGAAGCCAACAAGCCAAGAGATATACAAAACAATACGAGCCACTTCCAATCCCATTGAGTCGATTTCCAAGGAAGTCGACAACAGCTAGCCATTGACCACTATACCCGTGCGCTATGCCGATAGACTGCCAGACTATATTAGGTTTTCCTCACGCGTTGTAGTCATGAGAGATTGATATATCATGGCAACATTGGCCTGCGGCCAACAGGATTACGGATATTACTACTCGTCACAAGGGTGACCAAATCTGTATAAAAATCTATGTCCCCTTTGCTCTATTTATAAGTTTTTTTGCATCCTCATATCAGCTGATCCCTACACCCTCAAAACATACCATATAGGCACGGATCTTGGGATTAGGGTATAACCCATCAACAATGGCATGCTAGGTAGGGGAGCACCGGTATTCAGAGGATTCGTTGAGAGATGGCTTCAAGAGACGGATTTTCCGATGAGGGATATTTCGACAACTTTGGATTGACAAAGCTTCAGGATGTCGCCACAGGAGGCTTTGACTTGGGTTGACCACTTCATAACTGATATCACCGCCTCAGAGGAACAACAGTTCCACTAACTTAGGAACCGTGTCAACCATGCATGAGGCCTCGGCACAATCCAACTACTCCATTGGTTCAACCATCGCTTGCCTAGTGTGTATAGCTGTCCATTTGTAATGCCCTAGAAAAAATAGAATATCGTAGAGGATATATTGGAAGTCCCTAAGGTTTTGGTGTTTGAAATTAGAAGAAAAACAATAGTTATATGCTAGCTGGGCGAGCTTTCGGCCAGCCCAAGGCCCAGCTGCCCCCTCCACATCCCCAAAACCCTAGGAGGTCCCCCCCCCACCTCCCCCTAGCCATCATTTGGTACCCTGGGGGCGCCCACCTCCCCCTCTGGTCGACCTTCCCCATGCCTTCCCTATTGCAGACCTTGGAAGAAGAAGAAGGGAAGGAGAACAAAGGGAAAGAAGGAAGCGGAGGGAATCAATGTGAAGATGGAAATGAGGGGTTTGATTACCGCTGCCCATGGAGGCCTAGGTACCAATACATGATCTTTTTCCCCTGTTTTGGTTTTCTATTAGGGTTTAGATCAAGTGTTGGAAGCGAGTAAGTTTGGGATCCACCGATTTATTCCTCAGCCAGGTTTTTGCTGATATGCCCCCTGCGCAGTTCTGTTTTGGATGCCTTTTCGGCCAACATAATGGGATTTCCTGCAAAAAGTCTCTATACAAAAGTTGTAGATAACGTGTATATCTATCTTCTGACCAAATGGAATGATTTTATATCAAGTGGTTTAGGAGGTATCAATTTCTGAAGTTGGCTGTCTGAATGTCGATGCATTTATCTGTAGTCGAGGTTCAGAGGGATTTTAGAGGATCTTAATGATGGAATCCGAGAATCTTGTATTTACAGAAGTTGTAGCATATGTTGTGATCTACCTCATACATAAAAATTGTTAGCTTTTATCTTGTAGTTTGTTGTCAGTGCTCTTTTGAATGGTTGCTGCACAGTTTTCTGGGCAGATGCACTTCTCTGTTTTGTGCCATGTTTTAGGCCCGCTAAATGGAAGAATTCAGTTTTGTTATCTAAATAAAAGTTGTAACTCTTGTTCTGTAGATGTCAGAAATGATATATTTTGCTATTTTATGTGATGTAGAATTGGAGGTATCGAGTTGTTAATATATGTTGCTTTTATAGGAAGATTATCGGTAATTTTCTTTATGTTGTTTGGGGTGGGTTCCCAGCGTAGAAAGTGAATGTGTGATTCTTGAATGATTATATGTGTGTAGTTTGAGGCTGAGTCGGTGTTTATTCAGGTGATGCCACTTTGGAATGCAACTAGAGTTCATCTCGCCATCGGTGAAGGCAAGTAAACGTAGCGGTGGTTTGCTACAGCTTTGAGTTGTTATTTGATTCTACCTCTGTTGGCGGCTGTTAAATGCCGATTCTATACCGCCAGCATCTGCATAAAGTCGATATAATAAAACATCCAACATAGAAATAGGTGCTTAATCTCACATATTCCATCAGTGTTGGTGTATATTTGTATGCAGATGATAAACCCTGAAGTTGGGAGGAAAATCAGACTAAAGTGAGGAGAATTATGTATCCATACAAGGAGGGGTTGAGAACTTCGTTGAAACATCGGTAAATCAATCCAAAACTCCGAGAAATGGATAGAGGAAGGTCCAGGGAGTCCACCAACCGAAGGCCAGGCCAGGAGGGCCTAGCCCAGGTTCGGCCGAACCCCCTGGTTCGGCCGAACCACCACTTCCACCGTTGCATGTGGGGTTTGGCGTGGACGTCCCAGATGCATCCCTGATGACGGTTGGAGGGCACTTCGGACATTTCCCCTTCGCCAACCGTCATACCTACCCCTATATAAGGACATCATCTCACTCACTTCAACACACACTTCCAAGCTTGAGCTAAATTATAAGAGGCTCTATTGTACTATATTGTATACTAGAATAGGAAGAAAGTAGGTCGGAAGAATTCCGGAGTTGTCGGTAATCTTCTCCTATTTCTTTTATTCTGTTTATTACTCTGAATTCAATATAATATTCTTCTTGAGTAATTTAGATTTATCTTGTGAGAATTATCTCTTGGTTAGTTCCTAAATAGCATACGGGATTATTTTTCACTATAATCAACTAAAATATAGTGATTGCTTTGGTGAGTTATAAACACTAAAGTAGATATTAATTTCTTAGACATGGTGTTTAGGTAATTGTTATCCAGTAATTGTTGTGTATCCCATAGTACGTTTGAGGTAGGTGTAGAGGTGGTGACAGCCCTCGAGATCACTTAAGTCCTCCCTGTCCAGGTACGTAGTAGAGCGACATCTAGGAACAGCGGGTTGCCAGTGCCTGAAGTATTGCGTTAGGATTAAAGTTAAACTTTCCCTAGACACTGTTTCTCACTAGTGAATCCTCTCTATCCCGGCCTATCATTTGCTTGGTGTCCTTGGATGAACCGGAGGAAGATCTGACCACACACGTTCCCTTGGATTCGATACCCTTGGAATAATCCGTAGGGGAAGTGCTACATCTGTATATCCGTGCGCTTGCGGATTTTATCCGTAACCGTATTAAATACCAACAACCTCCACGTTGAAATTATATATCATCAACCAAGATTATTATATGTTACACCGAGGATTTACCTATCTAAATCATACTTATTGATTTTACACTGTTTATGGATATACTTTATGCTCTTGGTTATAATAACCTTATACTGATCTCCATCGAAGGAATGTGGTTCCGATGTTATACTCTGGAATTCATACTGCATTTGCATCACTTGCATTGCATTTGAAGTCATGTCGTGAACCTATGGTTGCGACCGTACCGGTACAGCATCGTATATTGCTGTAATACGATGTAGCTTCACACCTAGTTGGGTGTGAAGGCAGGAGTACATATCAATGCATTGCATATGCACTTATTCACCCTGTTGGGTGTGAAAGCAGGAGTACATATCATTGCATTGCATATGCACATATTGCAGGATGTTATGAGAATTATCGATCGAAAATATCTTTGAGAAGTGTTTTCTTCTCTGGGATTTGTGACTATATGGATTTGATTGGTGACGCTATGATGTTTTAGTCCTTGGATATTGAACTTTCTTTATGTGAATCATAACTTGGTATTTAATTAGTATATAATAAACATGTGGTTTAAATAGCTTGTTAAAGCCGTTTGCTTGCTGAGATTTATTCTCACCCCCTTATAGTCTTTTCAGGTACTCGCTGTGACATGTTTGCATGAAGGGATGGGATTAGATACACAGTCACACAACATGATCTCACTTAGTCATGAGTATTGTATTATGCTGATAAGATTTCTTGTGTTTAGACATAATGAGCTAATTAAATACTAGAGTTGTTGACCATTGGTTAACTACTTTTCAAAGGCTATCCCTATATGTCAGTCAGTTGATGTATCATAAACTTAATCTATATGTTGATGCTTTCGTGATGTTTTCTTGTCTAAGGTAGTTGTTGCCGAAATTTGCTTGTTTTGGCACTTTTGTATGGTTGTTTAGTGGCATCCCAGGCTTATGTGGTTTTCCGGGGTGTTACACCATTAGTTTAGTAGGGAACGCCAGAACGCTGGCCTCTGCCTGTTCGTGCAACCTCCTGTGACCTTTTGGTCTCGAGCACGACACACACCCGAGGAGTGGAAAATCTGACTTGCTGACAAAGTCAATCTACACATGCTTCGTTCCACATGTCCGATTAGGATTGGTATTGACCAACCGATACACACACATACGTGCATGAGACATGTCTCGTGTCCCCATGCAATAGCCTATCGATCAAACTGACCTATGACACAAGCACATGCTACGAGAAAATATTATTCTATAGAAAACAATACCATATCACTTGGTAGATTGATGTCTTAATTAATCTACTTCGTATGTGAGGTTCATTGTCATACAAGGCTACAAATGACTGAAGGTGCAAAATGCAATGTAGGGTTGGCAAGACTTGGCTACGCGATAGACCATGTAGAGGAAAAGGGCAAGTGGAGGCTTAGCGCTGGAGGACTCGATGAAGTGGTGAAGGAGAAAGTGCTCTATGCAACACCAACAAACCGGTCGAGGTCATAAGAAGTCACAAGTTGCTGAGGATAAATCTTCGTTGTCGAAGAAGCGTGTGAGGCAAGGCTTGGAAGGAAGAAGATCAAGACTGCCGCATGAAGATCTCCCACCATCTCAAGTGTGTTCAAGTGTAGCTAGAGTGTGGAATTGAGAGTGATGTGGAGTTTGTGTGCTTCAAGTTGGAGAACTTGAGGTTGTAATTAAGAGAAGGAGAAGGAGAAACCCAAGACCAACCAAGTGGAGTGTGATGTGCCATGGAGATGTTTGTGAAGGTTGATACCTTGCCTCCGCAAGGAAAGAAGTCATAGTGGAAGTAGTGCTACATACTGGTGGATGCTTGGTAGAGCAAGATTCATTGGAGGGAAGTTGGGTGGCATCCAAGCTTGGGACCGAGTAGGTCGCTTGGAGCACAAGCTTGCCCTTGGTGGTTGCTTGAAGAGACCAACGAATCATCAGAGGTGGTAGCATGGAAGATAAAGAGGGTTGAAAGAGACTCGACTTTTTAGAGCCCCTCAATAGACACGGATCGGTTGGATCCAAACATCGCTGAACAAATCGGTGCCTCCTTTTTCTCTCTTTACTTTGCACTTATCACTTTCCTGTTAAGCTATTTGGTAATCTGTTGTAGCAGGCTTATATTTTGTTGATCTACTCCTAGTTCTAATTTAAAACTAGTGTACAAAGTGCTATACCTCACCATAAGTTACATATTCTCTATATAGGGCTCATTATCCCTAGCTATCGGATTGTCTAACATTGTGCATTGTCGGACTGTCCACAATGGCACCGGATTGTTTGGTAAGGTATAATTTCCTCCTATTCACCCCTGCCCCCGGCGAGTTCTACGGTCCTCAGTGTACTTTCAATGATTTTATATATTACGCCAACCAAGCCATGTATCTGGTAAGGCTTGGCAAGCTCGGCTAGGCCTTAACTAAGCTAGCCGCAACTTGGCAGTCAATCGAGTTGCAGTAAGACCAGCTGGACGTTTGTAGGGTTGTTTGAGCCTTACAAATCTACTCGGGCTTAGACATGATTGACAAACAATGACCAGGATGATTGGACCTAGGTAGATATTGCCAAGTATCTAGCAAGGGTTGCCAATCTCTGATAAGGGCTGCTAGGCCTTGGCATGGCTTGCTAGGTTAAGACATGACTTTCTGGGCACCAACAAGGTCAGCCAATCCATGGCATGGACGATCGAGCTTTGATGAGGTTGGACAATCCATAGGATGCTCTATACACAGCTAGCCAGACAAAGGCAACATTAGTAGGCCAACGGTCAAGTCGGCTAGCTGATGGGTAAGGTCGGTCGGGCTTGGAGTGGCTGGTCGAACTAGTGGGGAGGTCCAACGGCCTTGCTGACCTAAGACACGGTCAATCGGGCAAGGATATGGTTAGCAGGCCAACTTGGTGATTGGTCAATCTAGTCATTGTCCGATCGAGCAACGGCACGATTGGCCAAATCACGACAAGCTCAGCCAAGCTATGACATGGTTGTCTAGGCTGTGCAATGATGGGCCAGGCTGGTTAATCCCTTGATTTGACTCTGTAAATATGTGACAAATGTTACAACATACAGGGGCACCGACCAACGGGTTATCTGGCCGACCGGGGCCAAACATAATCTTCTTTTATTTGATTCCATTACATGATTGAAAATACCTCTTTATTTTATTTGGAAGATGAAATATACGATGAAAGTAAGTTCAAATGCGATAATGGAAATAAACAAAAACATCGGGTTACCTGCCGGAAGTGCTTGTTTTGGATCAATAGCTTGACCTCGGAGCATTTCCTCTTGTAGCCAATCTGGAGATGGAGCTCCCTCCATCACTTAATTTGTTTGCTGATAATTCCTAGCAACAATGCAATAGCTTAACCTGGAGATGGAGCCTTAATGTTGCCATGGCATAATGGTATAGAATGGTTAAAGCTCTCATAAATATTGGCACAAATATTACTTGCACTTGAAGTTATTTCTGATAGCATGGATATTTCTACACTTCGAGGATAAATCATTCACATTTGTTGTCGAAAAATCCATGTTACAGTGTCAAATCTGGTGTCCTGAGAACTTCCATAGAGTAAACACTATCAACTTTAGGTCATTGTCTACGGCACTCTGGGTGAACATATCCATACTCGACACAATCATCACCACGTATTGCACTCCATAATTCATCAGAGTCGTGGTCTTGAGGCACGATCTTCACTAATTGATGTACACTCCATTCAATGGGCAACAACTGAGCATTTACATACTTGGGAAAAACATAGTATATATTTGATGGGTTCATAAAGGAGAGGAGGTGTGTTTTTTTGTAAAATCATGAAGTCTGTTGGGATCGGCTCAAATGGTTCATCAAATAAGGATTTTGGCGGTATCGGCTTGGGAGGGGAATTGGCTATCTCTTGGTGGAGCTAAGGGTGTTTTGGTTATTGAGTTTTCATAAGGTGGTTCAGTTGTTTAATTGACGGATATTCTCACCAAAATTCCCCTTCCTTCCTCGATGGTTCTATGGATAAAGGCCCCTCCAACTGCCATATCAAGGAAAACAACAGTATGAGCAGTGAATCGTCCGAAGAAATGTTGCATGATCACAAACTCCGGGAGACTAAGCTTTGGACCACAAAGTTAATTGGAATTTTGATGCAGTGTGGACTTGAACAACTGACAAGCAATTCCCTATGCTTAAGAAATGACGGGAAATGGTTGCAAAAGAGGACGGTACAATGATAATATTTGTGTTTTGCAACTTATTGAAGGAACTGAACAAAAATATATATGCTAGGGTCATAAGATTAATATGCTAGAGTTTTATTCACAGCAATTTTAAACCATATGTTTCACAGGGACATTTTTTACCTTAGTAATGTAGACTGCGTAATAATGGTAGAATAATAGTTTCTCCTCCCTAATATTGAATTTTAGCCCCTAATATTATTTAAAAAGATAAGGATAAGCATATGCCCATCTTTTAAAACTATTTGGCAACCCCTGACTCAGTACACATAGTTAACCAGTTGACAACCTCAGACTAAGTAGACTAAAAATCAACATGAAATGGTGTCAGCACATATATCTGAGAATATGTAAATAATTGTCTATGAACATGGACAGCACACCTTTGTTGGCACATAATCTGCTTCAGCTAATCGATCCAAATTTTCCATGAAGTATTGTGCACAATCAGGAAGTTGCAGAATACTTCCACGTAAGTAAGTTTCCTACAATATAGAGCATTGCTTCAGCACACCTGGCCAGGAAAACTATATAACTTCAAAAGATTTGAATGGCTATTTGTTTTCACCTGAATGGCTGGGTCTTGCCATAACCTTTTTACATCGAGTACAAGTTCTTTGTTCAGCAGTGGATAATCCAACCTGCCATCAATATCTGATAGTTTTTCTCCAATTTCGTGATGATATGACAAAGTAAATGACATCTTAGAAACAAAATTGGTTGGTAAGGTGTACAGTGTGAAACTGGTGATATTTGTCTTTCAATGTCTAAGAAAAGTCAGTTTTCCTTAAAAGTTCCAAAGCAACGGAACAAGGTAAATGCACAAAGGTATAGTTTTTTTAACCTGGTTGAGAAAAAAATTGAATCTTATAACACCCACATTTGATACCAAGTTATTTTTAGCATATCAACAATTGTCTGAAGCAATCAAATAAACAAGGAAGAATAAATGTTACAAAATCTCATTGTTCTTTTCTACTTTGTTCAGTACATTGTACGGTTCAATAGATATCTTTTTCAAGTTTTCATTATAGAATGACCGTGTAAAACATAAGACTACAATAGAGCCGAGCACAGTCTACAAGGTCTTAACAGGTTAAAACATAGAGCCGAGCAGCTTGACTACAACAGAAATGTTGCAAATCAAAATGTTTGTATTCCCAGATTTAACAAGACATGTTCATATGCACAGATTTAGCTTTAACTGTTGAGTAAAGAGTAAGCACAAACCTGGTTATCTGGGGATATAACATACTTTGAGGAATCTGATTCCACTTGTGAGAGTTCTTTTGCTCCTTCATATAGTATCTGTTAACATTTAACACATTACTCGACAAAAAGGAAAAGTATGAACGCATTTCCTTATGAACAGAATACAAATCCCTAGTCGAATCTCCTACATAATCCCCACTTTGCAATAAGAAAAAAAAGACACACCCTTTCCAGTATTGCATACTTTAATTGTCTGATAGACGTTTGCATGGATAACTGATGTGTAGCTCCTAAGTTCTGCCTCATCAAAGCCAGTTTGGAAAAGGAGCTTAATCTGCAGGTGAACAGTAAGAATACATCAGACTAACTAGTGGCGTACGGATTATGATTCTCCATGGAATATAGCATTCATCACCTGTTTAAATATCGTAGACTTCCCTGATTCTCCCGCACCTTAAAACAGAAGCAATTGAGAGAGAGAAAGAAGGATGGATCCAAATTGAGAACAAGTTAAAACTAAAAATTTCTAGGATACATTTATTTATCTTCTTTTTTTTTTGGAAATAACATGAGAAAGGTTTTTTTTATAGAGGTAAATAGGAACAACAGAAACAATTAATTTCTGAACCAATAGATACTAAAGGTAGCGCAGATAATTGTGACAAGGAAAATGACCACTAAAATTTGGGAAAGTTAGCAATACCAAGAAGTAAGAGCTTGTGGATGTGTTGCTCTGCTTTTGTCTCTTGCAAAATTCACCTGTCAATGTCTGCAGACTGTTACCAGCTGAATTAGAAGAAATCAAATGTGGCAACTCTCAAATCAAGAATTGAGTTAGCATTTACTTGTTCAGTAAGCCTGAGTGCCAACTTACTTTTGCATTTTCGGCTGTTTCAGCCTCACTTAAAGAATGAGATCTGCTACAGGATGAGCCTATGTTATCAAGCACATAGGTAAGCACGGACATTATTTTAGAGGTATGCTCTCATGCCTGAGCCTCTCTCTTTCCAGGAAGCACGTTGACGTCTAGATCTCAGGGTCCATGAGCTGCACACATGAGCAGTAAGCTCGAGCGCAATGTGGCCAGCATTTGAAAAGAAAAGATTGTACAGAGTAATGGTTTGCATAGTTCAATATTGCTGACCCACATTGTTAAGCATGGATACATATCCAGAAACATTATATCAAGGAAAAACATTAGTAACCATTTCTGACCAGTGAAATACAGGATTCATTTGCCCCTTTTTTTTTCTCCTAAAATTCACAAGTTTTGATTATGCGGAATAATTATAAGCATACATGCCTATTTCAAATTAGCAAACAATTGTACGTCAGGGGCGGATCCAACTTGGGACATTGGGGTTCAGTTAAACCCCCAAACTTTTGGGGGGGAACAAACAAACTGCTACTCGCATTAAGGTTAAGACTCTGAAATTAAGAGAGGAGCTTCTTCCAGATCTAGAGGAGGAAGCTAGGGTTAACGCAAGCACAGATTCAAGACAAAAATAGGTCGGGAGAGAGATGAATCAGAATGAGGATGTAGATGCACACCAGGATCCCTTCCCCTCCCCTACCCTGCTCGCCAGATGGAGCTCGGCGCCCGCGCCCCTCCCCTGTTCAAGCTGCGAAATGGCGCAAGGAGCGGAGGAGACTGAGACAGGAGATTTTCTTTTAGGAGAAGGGAAGGGGAGGGAGGACACTTAGCAGTCCAACTTCTCTCAAATTTCCTATGTTACCCATTCTTTATGATGATGGATGATCCACATGTCAGCGGTACTTAAAAATTTATAATAAACTCGATTACATATTATGTTGATAGTAAATTTTTTAGACCACCGGCAACTATTAGTTATTGCTCCATGCACTGCCATCACCGTTCTTTCTCCATAAGCCACTATCGTTCCTCTTCTCTGCCTTCGCATGTGTAGCCGCACCCTTTAGGCATCAACATGTCTTTTCTCCTCCGCTATCATCATGCACGGTATTGTAATGGTTGTCGTTGGGACCAGAGGTGACACACTTGCTGAGACTCGAGAGGCAGGAACCAACCCGACAGAGAGCAGAGACACTAGATTTGGGCTCCCTTTTTTATCGGAGCAACAAGGAGAGAGAGTTAGTGTGTGGAGTTGTCGTAGAGCCACTGGACTTGGAGATAGAGCTGTGGTGGAGTGACTGGAGTCACCAGACTTGGAGATGGATATAATGGAGTGGTCCAAATTGAAAATTGAAATGTAAATTTAGCTCTTGTGTAAATGAAAAGAATGGTTAAAGATTACATAGAACAAACTGTAATCTAATTGTTTTCCTCTAGCACAATTAAAAGATGAGTTGTCCATTAGATGATAGTCTCGTGCTATGCTAAGCCCACTACAGTTTTATCATTGTCTCTGCACTTTTATGGTTGGGTCGATCTACTTAGCCATTACTAATAATATCATGATATGTTGACGCATGACGATACAGACTTCTACTAACACAGGTTAATTGTTAATTAATTATGGTTAGATATATTCAACTCAAAAAAGATAAAAATATAATACCATGAATTTTGCTCAATAATAAAGGATTCCATTATGGTCTCTTTCTCTCACTACATGATATATGATGACTATCTATTAGTATATATATATAACTATGTTGGTATTTCCCCTAAATCTTTCATATTGTTTTTCAATTTTTTAATATATTATTTGGACTAATATTTTACATATATTGGGGACAAAGTCAATGGCACATAATGGATTTTCTCAAAAAAGAAACTAAAACATTTCTTACCTAAACATGTTAGGAGAACTTCAATAGAAGGTAAGAAAAAGGAAAAGTTAATCACTAGCTCAAACACACGAGAGAAAACGTTGTCCACATCTATGGTATGGGTTATACTCATATTAATCGATAATATACTAATATTATTAAATTTGTTCTTTGTCGTAATACGGTGTGAAACTAAAACTTTAACATTATATTCTTCCTTTGTTCCATCTTCTTGTTTTCTCGTCCTTCATTATTTTCGATAATAATATTGCTAAAATCAGCACTATTACTTGCACATGAATACTAGTAGCTAGCTCATGTGTGTCCTCCGTAATATATATTATCTTTGTTTTTACATGAGTAAATAATTATTATTATTTTTGTTGTATTTATATAAGGTACTCAGTATCGTGGAAAACGGTCGTACCGATCGATTAATTGGCCGTATATACGTTAACGGTAGTATAACAGTTCGTTAACGTGATACGGTGTACATTTATCGTTCATGAATGTTAAAACTTTGTTTTTAACGATTAGTTGGTCCTTTTCCATTTAATCATCCAAATAATCGTTTGTATATTGTATTTGATGATAATTTAGCGTAGTTTTTTTACTTAATTTAGATTTTTTTTGTTTTGTAACATATATTTTTATGTTTTACTTATTTAATGCAACCAATTCTACCACCATGTGATATATAAATCTTGTGTTAAAAGAGTTAATATTTTACTTATCTATTTAATTAAAAAAACAACATGAACATATTTGATTTATATAGTTGTACACATCTAAATCGTATATAATGTTATAAAATTTGTACATATATTCATGAATGTTAAATTTCCGTATAATTCCAATTAATTGTCCGTATTCCGATTAATCGGTGAACGCTACCTTTTCCGTCCGACAACCATATTCCGTCTTACACAACACTGAAGTTACTTGACTAGTTTTAAGAACTAAAAAAGATATTTTTTGCTAAACATAATCTAGAATGCTATAGATTAATAATATTGAACAATATATAGTCATATAAATATATATAGTTTTATGGATAAATTAGATATTGACACTTGTTATGAATCCAATGATTATAGTGCATTATATATAAATTGTTCAAGTGAGTTGTGACTTTCACTATTTAGTAGTTACGTGCCTATGCATTCAATGGAATCTAGAGATAAAAATATGATTTATTTTGTTTCTAGTCCGATTTTTTATGAAGTGTTGAATTTTTTACGTTTCTTTATATAATAATGAGATAATTTATTATTTATAAATAGATTATTTTATCGAACTCCCATTTATAAAATCGTGCGCCAGTTCATTTTGGAGGTGAACCAGGGTCGAAGATGCTAAGAATCAGGGTTAATTGGATACATGACATTACAAATTTCATGGTTTTGAAACGACTATTCAACTATTTGGTGTCATACCATTACAATTTAGCATGTATTTGAAACATGCCACTACTCATCCCTTCACTACACTAAAAATATTTTTTTGAACTAAATTACCATTTTTCTTCACGGTAGTGGTTGTCGCCAAAGCACTGCTGCTTCTAGTGTTGGTGGGCATTTGGTTGCCTCTTGTTTGGTTCGCTCACTTGCTTGATTATGCCTAATAGCCGTTGTAATGATGGTGGTCACTAGCATGAGTCTGTTCTATTTTGGAGAATTTTTTTTGTTGGGGAATGGTTTTGGTTTGATTTCTTGGTGGGATCAGGGAATCGTTCCATTTCAGTTGCTGCTGCTGGTTGGGGCTCCAATGAATCCATTCCTGTGGTGATGGCTTGCTGTTGGGTAGAGGAGAGGGGAGCTCAACCCACGCAGTGTGCAGGTGTTGTGAGGAGAAGGACCAAGCTGACCTCGCGCCGTGCCGCCATCCATCCCTCCAACGAATGTTAGCCAACGACCGGCAAGAGCATGCTCGCATTCGATTCACATTATCACTTATCACATATGCATAAGCTCTGTCAGATCTAATGGGGAGAAAATGAACAGGAAAGAGGGATGGAGAAAGAAGATAAGGACAATTTGGTCTAAAAATCTTAAAAAATACAATGGGTATGTAATGGTATAAATCAAATAACTATTAAATTGTAATGGCATAAGTCTAAATAGTTGAATATTATTGGTATATTTCCAAATCACAAAAATTATAATAGCATAATCCAATTAACCTGAAGGTTAGGTTAATAAGAGGTAGACTGGTTCCTGATTTGTGGCGCTAGTACCACACCTACCAAAAATATATTGTTATACCATTCAAACTATTCTGCCTTATTCCTTTAGTTGCCACTTTGATATCTTTCAAACCAAATTTTCATACACTTCTTTTAAATAACCAAATTTTCAGACACTCCTTTCATACCATTCAAACTATTCTGCCTTATTCCTCTCTCACGCCGCCGCGCCTCCTTCTCCTCTCCCACGCCGCCGCGCCTCCTTGCCTCCCACGCCGCCGCGCCACCTCCTTCTCATCTTCTCCCAAGCAGCAGTCGGCGGCGTGATCTTTCGGAGTTGCGGCGGTCGTCAGCGGCAACTTCAGTGGTCTTTCGGAGGCTCATCAGCACCTCCTCTCCCTTGATCTTGGCGGCGGCTCGCCGGTGCCCGGGCGGCCGCCGGTTCTTGGCTCGTCCGGATCCGAGTTGTGCTGGCGGTCATCGGCGCGGGGCCGCGGATTCGCCGCTGGATTTGGGGGTCGTGGCAGCGGATGTGGTGGCCGCGGGGAGGGGGGCGGGAGCGGACGGCGCGACGCCGACGGGAAGCCCCGGCGAGGAGGAAACGGGCGCGCGGCGGCGAGATTATTGATTGTTTTTTTTGTGCATGTGGGATGTGTTGTTCATTGGTTAATATGAGATCTGGGCCCTGGATTTCTCTTGTGTTCTTGGGACGGATCGAGATTTCTTTGTTTCTTTTGCTTCTTGGTGATTCCTCTTGTGTTCTTGGGATAGATCAAGTTCTTTTTTCTGCGTTCTTGCTTGGGGTGTTTCGGTGGCGGGAAGAATCGTGGGCGAATCAGGGTTTTCTCCACTCGATGCGGCGCGAGGGCACGGCGCGGCCAAGAACCGCACCCCACAGCGTGCGCGCCTCGCGTCTTCCTCTCCTTATCGCGCCCTCGTTTTGGCAAGGTTTCGCGCGGCTCTGCTTGGGGGCGAGGAGCTCTGCTAGGGTGCGATTCCTTATGCCACGTATGCTTCAATCCGAGCTGGCACCGTGTAGCACCGGTCCAGCTCACCGCACTGTGAGAGGCCTTATCTCTTCATGCACTCCAGCCAGCCTCATCTCCCTCATCCATCATCTATCATTCTCATCCACTTGTTCCACTCAACACACTCTCTCTCTCTCTCTCTCTCTCTTCCCCAAGCATATGCTGCAAGCTCCAAGGAGAGTGAGGTCCGGCACTAAGACAACATGCAATGGCAGCGTGGTGGCCAGCATTGAGGAAGACGTTGTGTGAGGCAGCAGCATGAGGCGACCTTCGTGTCAAGCTGATGGACCAGATGGTGGCGACCCTTTTCATCTTGCACTCAAGGAGGTCTGTGTAGACGCTGGCGCCTCACCGTCGGGAGTGTGCAGGAGATGAGTACGAGAATGGGTGTGTTGAGATTTTTTTTTTATGTTTTAGCTGGTTTATTTTTTGTTTCTTTGCGTTGGATTTGACATGTTGCAGTAGGATTATAGATAGTGTTTCATAACTTGGTCCTTAATGCATACAGATATGTTGATGTTTCAGCAATTGAATTTCGATGTTTCATCAATGTGAACAAAATTGATTCGAATTTGTTTTAGCATTTTAATAGGTTGAAACATTTTTAGTATAGTGGTGAAACATTCCTCTAGTAGCAGTAAAAACAACGTAAAAAAAATTGAACGCTTGATTTGAGTCGTCCCGATACTAGATCCACATCTAGGCCATTTCCAATGGCATATATATATCCGTTGTAATACATGAACGTACTACTATATTTATTTAAAACTATAAATCATGAAATTTGATAAAACCATGTTTTCGTTCCACCGTTTCAAATAGGCATTTGGCCTCGAAGAGCTACGTGGGACAAGACGGTGGGTTCACAATTCCGATATCGGATCAAAACCCGCTCATGAGTGGTACAATTGGATTTCGTGGAATTCGTTGTTAAACCGACAAAGACTAATAGAATCCAGATAATAAATTTTGTCAAAAATTTAAAGTTTAGCTTGTTTTTTTTAACTTGACCGAAAAATGAGTGGTTTGTGTTTTCGATACGGTCCGGAAAGCTCGGGTTTCATCGAATCCAAACCGGGTTCCACTGGAATTGTGAACCCTAACACCATGTAGAGGAGAGATAAGGCGAGATGGTGTTTTTTAATTGGGGTTAAGTGTGCCTTCTGTAGAGAGAATAGCTTGAGGAGAAAAGTGCGATCTAAAATAAAGAGGTCAAAAGGGGTAAACTCATGTCGCCCGCAAGTGGTTTGCTTGGCCAACACTAGTCGATCGAGCAACAGATTGACATAGGCCGCGAGCAATGACTATTGAAACGATGGTAGCTTCACATAGTGAGAATGTGAGGTTATGCTCAAAGAAGATAGATAGCTCATGGTTAAATCTAGCTTTCGACAAGCTCATGGGCTCATGGGTGCATGTTATGTCTACCTATGCGCTTATTAATTCAAGTGTGTTCGGCCCCCAACTTTCCCACCCCTCCTTCCTCGTTTTTCACACGCACGCTTTTCAAACTAACAAATGGTGCGGTTTTTTACAAAAAGTTTCTATACAAAAGTTGTTTTAAAAATTCAAATTAATCTATTTTTGAAAAAAAAAATTAGCTAATACTTAATTAATTATGTGCTAATAGATCTTTCCGTTTTTCATGTGGGAGGGATGAGTTCCCATCCCTGAAATCCGAACACAGGGCTAGCGTGTAATGTCGGGCATATCTAGACGACTAAGGGTGTGTTTAGTTCTTGAAAAAAGTTGGAAGTTTGAAGAAAGTTAGGAGTTTGAAAAAAAAGTTAGAAGTTTATGTGTATAGGAAAGTTTTTGATGTGATATGATGTGATGTAAAGTAGGGAATAGGGGGGAAACTAAACACGGCCTAAGATGAGGTGTTGGTCCAACAGTGGTTTCTATGGATAGTCGAGAAGAGGGGAGAGGCACTAGTGTCCAGGGATAGAGAAGGATAGAAGGAATTGTTATATTGGTGAGGAACAAAACAGAAACAATGTGAGACCATGAGAGGGTCAAAACTGAAAATAGGGAGAGTGATAAGCTCTTCTTTTTTTTAATCTTGATTGTTTTTAAAAATATATTTTTACAAATAGACCTTCAATAAAAACCGTTTCTAAAAATATTCTCGACACTTAGCTGCGAGATTTAGGCCTTGTTTGATTCAGTTTAAGATTATTGTAATCTAGATTATAGAACTAGATTACTATAAGCTGGATTATAATAAGCCAACATAGAATAAGCTGGTAGCTGTTTGTTTCTCTGGATTATTATATGTTTGTTAGTTGCTAGTCACCCAATAATCTAAAATAAGCACTTTTAGAGTGGCTTACCAGATTATAGTAATCTGGCTTATAGATTATAATAATCTATCATAATAAGCTATCTGTTTGTTTCAGCTTACTCCTAATAATCCAGATTATAATAATCCTAAGCTGAATCAAACAGGGCCTTAGCATTGGGCATCCTGCCACACACATTTCAAAGACCATCCTACACAGCAGCCTACATATGACATTGTGTATATTTTTATCATGTCGTGAACATATAATGCCAAAAATATCATACCGCTATTAGTAAACATGTTTTTTTCCCAACATGCTAACTAGTGCATATTACTATGCATGACCCGAACTACACCATGCATTGTGGTGTTTGTCTCATGTATTTGTGGTATGAGTGGCTCTATACTACATGAAGCACATTCACGAGGCTACTGTGTTGTGTGAATGACCAAAGGACCAAAGCAATCCCTAGAGTGAGGGGGCACTCATCTCCTAATGGAAGATATCTCTAGATGGGCTCTTCAAAAGCTAAGGATATTATACGAAGATACTGTACCTCGCAATGTGTGTCCCAACCCACAAAGCCACTTGTGATATGTTCCTATCCTACCCCTACCCCTGTGCCGGTCCCTCTCCTCTATCTTCCTCTGCCCACATCTCTCTTTGTGCCGCTCCCTCGCCTCTCTTCCTCCGCCCACATCTCTCTTCATCCGCCTGTCGTCTCTGCCCCAGCACGCCGCCGCTGCTCTCCCTCCACCCGTCGCTGCTCGTCTCTCTCCCTCTCTCTCGTCACCGCATCTCTCCCTCTCTCTCGTCGCCACTCCCGGCGCCACTCGTCTCCGTGCGGCGGCTAACGGAGAGCCGCGCGCGGGGTGGCCGACGACGGCAGCGAGGGAGGCGCATCCCGTGGAGCACGAGCAGGATGAGGACGCGGCAGAGCGAGATCCGGTCAGCCTCTTCCCCAAATCATCGCCGCCTCTCTCTCCCTCCGCCTACCGCTACCGGATCTGATGGGCAGCACACGCTCCCACTACACTGCCGCCGCTGGATCTGGTGGGCAGCGCGAGCTCCCGCCGCTCCCGCGAGCGCCCATTTCTCTCCCTTCTCCATCCCCGGTCGTCCGTTATGGATCCATCTTCGTCGAGCTACCACCGGCGGAGGAGGCGATGATACCGAGGAGGAGGGGAGAGCAGCAGAGGAGGGGAGGGTAGAGGGGAAAACGGGGGAAAGAGCAGTGTCCACAGGCTCCTCCCCTAGCCATGGCCGACCCAGCGCGACTCCTCGCTCGGTCCCGGCGTTCCCCTCGTGGGGGTCGCGCCTCCTTCCAGAGGCACAGCTCACGGACAGGCGGTGTGAGTGAGGGTACGCCCTGGGCTACGCATTGAACATGGCCTAACGCACAAGCTGGAACTTTAGGAATGTTTTAGTCAAGAGTGGACTTTTCGTTTTTCTCCATATTTCAACATCCTTGTTCGTAGGGATTAAAGAAAACGACAGAGACGAAACTTTCCTAAAACATTGGGAAGTTGGGAATTGGGACGGAAGCTTTACATTGCAGGTTCAGATGGAATAACCACGATACATGTACACTCAGCAGTCAACACGACACAATTATTTCGACGCACATGATCAAAATAACCCCCTCAAAACAACAGCTAGTAAATAAGCAACCTGTGAGTTACAGATATACAAAGGGCCATGAACTTCTTCGGCATATCGAATCGTCATCATCGAACAACTATATTTGACAACAATTTCATGAACTGAGTTTAGTATTTACACAAGCTAAAAATAATCAACCAGTATACACTTGCATTGCTCCTGAGCTCCAAAAGAGCATGAGCAAAGTTAATGCAAGGATTTGATCCTTCACATATCAATTGCAGGTTTCTATGACATTATGCCCACGTGATTTGCATTGGAATCTCGCTATGAGCAGCACTTTGGTGGAGGTTCTTTCTCAGGTTCATCGTCGACGATTAAAATGCCTTTCTTTGGATGAGCCAGTGACAAGCCATCGGAGCTGTTTTTTCTTCTCTCTAATAATCCTACAACAAACGGTAGTGAGGGCATAGCAATTAAGAAAACCACCAATCAGTTAGGGACATACGATTTTCAACAGCTTAAAAGGAAATAAATAGTTCCATGTTAGCAGTGTTTGAATTCCCTGGTGACAAGTCCAGAAAATCAGTAGGATTAAGAATGCATACATATCCATTTATTGCAAGTTATGTCATTGCAAGAATAGCTCTAGACAAACTACATACAACATAGCCACTTCGAATACAGCATTCTATACCAATGACATGTGGGTCCATACCCACCTTGTTATTGAGATGAAGAGGGAATTCGCAAATATTGAGTGTTATACAATGGATTAATCTGAGGAATAACAATTGAGTTTGATAAACGAAATCTGCTCAATAGAGTGAAACATGAAATTGTTAACTAAACTATATGCTATCGTTGATGACCCCGCATTCTAATGGAATAGCTGAATGTTACAACTTATAAGTTTTGGCAAAGCAGTATTTGTTAAAGTGGCAAAAATGTGGAGATGAATTGAAAGCAATAGCTAACACAATAAGACTTACTCTTGGCTATGTCACTGAAGATATCATCAATCCCAGTACCAGCTTTGGCAGAAGTAACAAAGAGAGTTGCCCCAATACTTTCTGCATAGCTGGAGATGTACATGTAGTAACAATATTACTTAGATGAAATAGATAGAGAAGAGGAAATATGGAACTAAAAGAACGCATTTTCAAGAAACTGTACAATCATAAAAGGATTGCAGATTATATGTTGAAACTATGCTGATATATCTAAATAGTTTAATCAACAGATAAAGTATATATCACATATATTTCTTTTGTTCTACTCAAAGACTAACGATGCTAAGTTGCTAACTCAAGTACCAGGGCAATATTACATATTTTGGCTGTGTAGTATTTGTAACTGATAACAAAGAAGAATACCTTGCTGCTTCATTAGTGTCTATGTGTTTTGATCTAACCAGGTCACTTTTATTTGCTGCAATGGCCATAACAATATCTTTATTTGCCATTTGCTTAAGCTCTTTCACCCACTTTGTGACACGAAGAAAAGTATCATTGTCTGTGATGTCATATACTAAAAGAGCAGCTGCAGTCATCAAAAGATATAAAAAAGAATTTAGTGATCCACCTCGATATATTTAATTCAAAACAAGAAGACGAATATTACCGTCTGCATCACGATAGTATATAGGGCCTAGTGCATGGAACTTCTCTTGTCCAGCTGTATCCTGCAAACCAAGAAAAATTAAATACTAAAAAAATCTTGCAGGAAGAACTTAAAGTAAAGGAGACAACCAAGTGACCAGCGCGTGGAAATAAGTTATTACTCAGTTATAGAAGGCAGTCACTGGTAGCAAATATACTTTTGTTGATAGAACAAGCAAAGCCTACAAACTAACCAAAAGGAGGACCAAAGTCTAGTTTCAGTATTCTGGTAAAGATTTAAGATTTCCATGAAGGATACCGTCACATCAGTAAAAAACTGAACACAACCATACTGATAAAATCTTACTTAAATTAAAAAGGCAATCAACAAAATGAGAGTCAAATCAATCAACAGGAGAGTAATAAACCTAATCATTCCCATTTCCGTGAAACCTGTAGACAAGTTGTATGCCAGCTGAACATGTCCAAGCAATCTAATGTTTGGCTTCATGAGTTCAAGTACACAGAGTCTCGGACTTTAGCTATAATGGAAGCAAACCATGTAACAGTTTTATTTAAATCTGTAGTTTTGGGATAAATTTGACCTTAAATCTGTAGTTCTGTGATAGTTTTGTCAAAATATCCGTAGTTCTATGAAATTTACTCCTTTTTTAATGAAGAACTAAGTCCACATATCTCTAAATATTCCCAATCTCGTATTATAATCCAACAAAATTGGGTTGGTTTCACCTTTTCTGACTCCTACTAGGATTTCTGATACAAGGGCACATATAAGTGGGATTTGAAACCATAATTGAATATCATCCCAACAGCAAAATTAGTAAACAATTACTTCAAACAAGTGTGTGCAACTGACATAAGAGAAAATGAAAGAGGTAAAAAATGTTGAACAAATTATCGCAAATCAAAGAGATGACAACGCACCCAGATAGAGAGCGTAATAGGCACACCTTCAACAACAAGGCGCTTTGTCAAATATGAAGCTTGAACAGTTGCTTCCTGTTTGTCTGAGAAGACATCATTCACATACCGCAGCACAAGAGATGTTTTGCCTACTCTCCCTGTGCCAAGAGAAAAGTAAAAGTTATTGTTTGTGTTAATAAATATGAAATGTATTCAATCACATGTCTTTTCAATGAAATTGAAAAAATGGAGCATATAATTATGATCAATTCATCCTAAGTTAAACTTAGGTTTATCAGTTTTCACATTGATAGGCTGGGCCAACAGAGGACTGGTTACAAGACAGCCTAAACACCTCTTCCATTAAAAATCTGAAATCAATGACAGAAAGTTATAACAATAAGCAAACCCTAATGACCCAACCTATAAGATACATGCCCACAAGACTATCAACAATGCTTTTATGCATGGAAACACATATATATCTTCATTCAAAAAATGTAAAGCCAAGTACTAAGGCATGGTTAAAGAGTTTCAGCAATTGATTATGCTGGCGCTATCACTTATCAAGTACTGTCTACTGTGGTAAAAAATTCTTTCATTGTGCTCATTGCCTCAGTTCAAAACTACTCCAACTTTTTTCTTTTCCAAAATTGAAATTAGCCAACTTCAAATGAAACGTGATTCCGCTTTGGCAATGCACAAACTGATTTCCAAGCTTGCTTCTAAGCTATAAGTAAGCTGATCCTAAATCAAAATGAGTCAATGTTCAACAATGCTAGGAAAAGCAAGTGTACCATGTTAGATCAATGCCCACCCGTGCCTGGTTTCAAGAAAAATTCTCTTGACATTCCCATGTATGACTTACATGCACTTGCTAAGAAGCATGCCCAAATAAAGACTGTAGTACTTTCCCATCAAAACCCCCTCCTCCCAAACTACATACTGTATCATTTTTCCAAAAAGGCACACATCACTTTCTCTAGAGGAACATGGGTAAGACCCATGGCATCATACACAGATGACCAAAAAGCTGAGTCATACTGAATTTTTTTTTTCTAGGACCCTGCCTTCAAGGGTTGGTTAAGGTAATGACAAGAAAAGTAAAACCACCAATTAATATAGAACTAGATCAGCTGGACATTACAATCCAAGCTTAAAAGCGGACAGAGAGCACGGATCAAAATGAAATATTATCCACCCCTATTGCATAAGACGAATTCCCTGCCACCAGCTCCATGGCCACCCTTCAGCTGCCACTTTGTGTCCACATGAATTTGCAGCAGTCCCCGCTGCAGCTAGCACTAGACAAATCTTCTATATAAGAACGAATATGCTTCTACTTGTTAGATTGTTTCTATGAGTAGCCCTCTCGGTCTAATCATCTCCTGGACTCCGCTAAGCCTCGAAGGCAATCAAGTAAAAGGTAAGCTTAGCTCAAAACCGCTCAACTCCCTCGTCTAAGCTATAGATTTAGCTACCTACACAGGGTACCAGATCAAATGATTCTGCGGCTTTCCCCTAACCCTAGCTAGGGCTCAGCACGCACCACAAGAGCAGCCAAAATTCACCCAGATTCCGTGGCTATTTTCTTGCGCACGCCAACCCCAAACTGAAGGATCGGGAATTCGGCAGAAAAGGGGGTTGAGAAGGGGGGGAGGAGGGTTCGCGGGATCGGAAGGGAGAGGGAGATAGCCGTACCGTCGCCGAGGAGGACGAGCTTGAAGGAGACGCTGGGCTGCGGCGGCGGCGGCGGCTTCGAGCCCATCGGAGGCGAGGCGAGGCGAGAGGGGTTCCGCCGGAGGCTCCTACGAGCCTCTAGAAGGTTCCAGAACCTTCCGGATCGCCCGTCCCGGTGTTGCGTGTGTGCTGTGGTCAGAGAGGAGAAGTGTGGGAGACGGGGAAAACGGGAATCGTGCGGCACGTTACCCTTGCGCGGAGCAAGGCTCGGGCCGGGCCGGCCCGGGCTTGGAGATAGGTTGCTGGCGTTATTTTCATAACATGGATGCTAAGCAATATTATTAATATTTTTTTTCTAAATAAAATGATTGGCCCAATTGTCACACTCTTCTCCTATAAGCCACTAATGGGATGTTTAGATTCAGGGGTGTAAAGTTTTGGCGTGTCACATCGGGTATTATGGCCCTCTTTGTTTAATCTTAGGTTTATTAGCTTAGGGCCCCTTTGAATCAAAGGATTTATGTAGAAATTTCATAGGATTCAAATCCTATAGGAAATTTTCCTATTTGGCCCTTTGATTCAAAGGATTGAAGCTTTCCAAATCCTATGAAATTCCTATGGAATGACACATTGCATGTAGATTTTGGAGAAAATTTAGCAAGAGCTCCAACCTCTTGGAAAATTTCCTTTGAGTCTATCTCTCATCCGATTCCTGCGTTTTTCCTGCGCTCCAATCAAACGACCATTCCTGTGTTTTTCCTGTGTTTTGCAATCCTCTGTTTTACACTTCAATTCCTGTCAGAATCCTATGTTTTTCCTATTCCTCCGTTTTTTCTACCCTGCGATTCAAAGGGGCCCTTAAACTTTTAATTCAACTTATTGGCTTATATGATTTATAAACCGGTAGATTTAATGTCCTGAATTTAGTGGTGAAGTCATATATCTACCTCATATAAGCCAAAAAAGTTCCACCAACCTAGCTTTTGGCTTAATAGTATTAGAGTGGCTTATGGTTTTAAAAAGCCAAACGAAAAAACTGTTTGTTTAAGCTTAGACTTTCCGACTTATAAGTTGGCTTATAAGCCTATACAAAGAGGGCCTATATAGGGTGTTGCATGGGGGTATTTGGGCATTAATAAAAAAACTAATTACAAAATCTGTCCGTAAATAGCGAGACGAATTTATTAAGCCTAATTAATCTGTCATTAGCAAATGTTTACTGTAGCACCATATTATCAAATCATGGAGAAATTAGGCTTAAAAGATCCGTCTCGCAAATTAGTCGCTATCTGTGCAATTAGTTATTTTTTAACCTATATTTAATACTTCATGCAGGTGTTTAAACGTTCAATGTGAGGGTGTAATTTTTTGCGGTGAGATCTAAATGGGGCCTAACTATTTTTTCTCTCTTCCTTCGGATGGAGACGGCACTATGGTCCACTAGTCACTAGATCATCCTCTCTCATATATCGTCATCATTAATATCATATAGAGAGATATAAAATCATCGGTATCAAATATTTATTACTTGCAGTCCCAATTGAAGGAGCTCTCTAAGGGACGAGTGTTTGTAGTCTGCAAACACAAAACAAGAGCTCATCTCCTACGCTCTATCTCCGTCTCTCTCTACACCTTATCTTTTTCTCTCAAATTAAATGCACGTGGCATGCAGCCACGCATCCATGATAGTGAACACACGAGGAAAGAAGTCACAGGCGAGCCACCTCCCTTGGCGATGACGATGACGGCAACCTTTATCCGGCGAGCCCCTTCCTCCCCCTCCCTCCAACGAGCTTCCTCATACGGAGAAGAGAAGACACAGTCAAGTAGCTCCCTCCAGTGATGACAATGACGGCGAAGGCCTCCCTAACGGTGAGCCCTCTCCTTGTCCCCTCGACGAGCTTCCTCTGACGAGATCGATTAGGTATCCATGTCAGCTCCCCACCCTTCTCTTCGCTCCGGTGCCGACCCATAGCCCTGGCAGTTGCAACGCCGCTTCAGTATCCACCGCCGGTCTGCTGGCCCTGAAACCATTCCTCTAAACCCGATTTCCCTGACTTACCCCTCGCTATCACCACCCCCTCCCCCCTCCCCACCCTCCACCTCCGAAACCCTAACTCTTACCCTAATCAGTAGCTTGTCGTCACGCAACCCGAAAGAGTTCGTGCACATGAGGAGTGCGTGCGTGTTACGTAGGCCTCTAGTCCGCACGTACATGTCAGCTGCTTATGTCGCGCGCGCCTCCCCACCTAGGCACCTAGCCTCCACGGGCCACGGCTCTCTCACACCACGCGCTATTAACACTAATGATCATACTGCTAGTGCTTACAATTATATTTTAAAAGAAATATATTTAAAATTAGTCAAAAGTTTGAAATTGGTAGTTGAAAGATTTTAAAATTTGAGTTGAATTTTTTCAACTTTCAATTGAAAGATGTAGATTTGAGTTGAAAGTTTTCAAATGGGTTGAAAGTTTCAAATTTTGACTTAAACGTTTTCAAAAATTAAATTGAAAGTTTTGAATTTGAATTGTAATAAATCAAATTTTATTGAAAATATCTTCTAATAGAAATTTTGATGACTTTTAATATATCCCAAATCAATTACATGAATATAAAAAGGAGAGAATCCACTCAGTGCCACTGAGTTCGTCACGGTTCAACAATATGCCACTGACTTTGTCGACTTCCATTATATATCATCACCTTTCCCTTAACCTCTACGATTTACCATCGTCGTCCACAGTCCGTCAACTATACGCCGTTTGTACTGTTATTTTTTTCCGTAATGACCAAAATACCCTTTGAGTCATCTAATGCTTCGGTGCGCGCCGCATGGAAGAATGTCGTCGATTGCCTGCTCAGGCTCAAGCGCCTCAAGCTGTTGCCGCCGTCAGTGGTCGACCAGGACGGCGGCACCAGTGCCGTGAGCAGCAGCACGGAGCGGCTGGGACACCTGGCCAAGTCAGAGTCCGGCGTCATCTTCCCGTCGTCGCACCGTGGCGCCGGGACGAGCAAGCACATGTCTGGCGTGATCGGCCGGTTCTCGCAGTTCCTTTCTCTGGACGCCGGCGGCGAGTCGCTGCTGTCCGTGGGCAGCGAGTTCGAGAACAACATCAAGATCATCCAGCAATGCCGGATCGGGAGCATCTTCACGGAGAGCGTGAAGCTGCCGGACGAGTCGGTGCAGAACCTAGGTCGGGCGCTCATCTTCGCCGCCACTGGCAAGGGGCAGAAGTTCAGCACGCCGGTGGAGGAGGAGGAGACGGTCGGCTTCTGCTAGGACCTCATCGTGCTGGTGTCGTCGGCGAACGTGCACCGCTTCACCACGTTCTGGCCGCAGTTGCACGACTGCTTCGCCGCCGTGTCCCAGTTGCCGCTCTTCTCCCCGTCCCGTTCGCCGAGAAGGCGATCGTGGCGCTGTTCAGGATCGCCGTGAGGCTGCTCTCCGGCGCCGGCGGCGGAGACCGGATGTCGGAGGAGTTGGTGTTCAAGTCCGGCTACTCTGACCCGGGCAACGCCTGGAGCAGCTCAAGCTCAAGCTTCTCCTCCTCGTCGATGGTGGCGGCGGCAGCGACGATGATGATGATGGAGGACGCGTCGCGGATGGGCAACCTGGCGACGAGCATGTTCATCAAGCTGGCCGAGGCGTTGCGCAAGACGAGCCTAGTCCAGCGAGAGGAGGTACGGAACCAGAGGAGATACGGAACCAGGCGGTGGCGGAGCTGGGCCGAGCCATTCGTCCCCACGCCGCCGTGCGCCTTGGCCGCCGGCGGGAGGTCGCCGGGACCTCGCCGCACCTTCCCCGGCCGCCGCCGTGCTAGTCACGCACCGTCCCGGCTGTGCTTGGCCACACACGCGCTGCCTCTCCCCGGCTGGAGGAAGAAGACGATGAAGAGAGAGAGGGTCGGGCCCACCTGTCATTAGCTGTAGTCGATTTCTGTAAGGGCATATTTGTCTTTTCTTCAATGCAAATTAACAGTTTGTGGCCGTGATGGTAAATCGTAGAGGTTAAGAGAAAGACGATGGTATATAATGGAAGTCGACAAAGTCAGTGACATATTGTTGAACGTGATGAACTCAATGGCACTGAGTGGATTCTCTCTATAAAAAAAATATGAACGAAAAAAAGTCATGCCAGCTAAACACATGCATGCGTGTGTGTGACGTTGATGCATGTGCAGGTGTGGGACCAATGCAGGCATGCATATGTTGCACAGCTGGGATTGGTGCACGCATACGGGTGCGCGCTACTTGCTAATCTAGCGCGTATGCATCAATTAGCATTCCTGGCGTGTTGCTCCCTTCGTTTCTGGTTATAAGATGTTTTTGATTTTGGTTAAAGTTAAACTGATTAAAGTTTGATCGAATTATAGAAAAAAAATAGTAATATTTCGAATCGAAGTTTGTTCCAAGTTAAATTAATTAGGAACTCAACGAATCGAAGACAAAATCTAAGGTGCCTTTACGTGCATGTCCGAATTGATGTCCAATTCCGTGTGGCCGCATGCTTTCGATTGAGGTCCGAAACTCTGATGATATAATTTTTCGTTCTCGTGCTTTGAGAAGAGATCGAGTCCTTTTTCTCTTACTTTGCCGGCCGGCCGGTAAGAGATTTTCTTCGTTCTTCGTTCTCTTCTTCCATGTTGTTATATATATAAACGTGAACCAAACCTTTCATAGTTATAACTTAAATTTGATCAAACTGACCTTAAACAAGTTGCTCTTGTTTAGTTCCCAACTTTTTCTTCAAACTTTTAACTTTTTCATCACATCAAAATTTTTCTACACATACAAACTTTCAACTTTTCTGTCACATTGTTCCAATTTCAATCAAACTTTCAATCAAACTTTTGACATGGCGGCGCCAGAGTTGAATAGTTTGATGGACGACGTCGTCGAAGAGATCCTCCTGCGCCTCCCGCCGGACGATCCCTCGTGCGCCGTCCGCGCCTCCCTCGTCTGCAAACGCTGGCGCCGCCTCCTCACCGATGACCCGTGCTTCCAACGCCGCTACCGCGCGTTCCACCGCCGCCGAGCGCGCGCGCCGCCTCCGCTGCTGGGCTTCATCCACCACGTCTCCGACGACCAACACCCCGGCGCCCCCACCGTCTCACGGTTCGTCCTGACCAACGCGTTCCGCCCCGCCGAGCCAGAGCGCCGCAGGGGCTGGTGGTGGCCGATCGACTGCCGCCACGGCCGCGCCCTCTTCCACTCCGCCGGCGAAGGCCTCGCCGTCTGGGACCCCATGGCGGGCGACGTGCGGTGGCAGCAGGAGCCG